GATATTATCTAAAAACAGCAAATATTACATGGTTTATCTTATGGGAAAGGTGTAGATTCAAGAATGGACTGAAGTCGGCTTATATTAATCACTGTAGTGATTTATGTATACAAAGCTGTCCACTTTTAAATATACAATATAAATCACCGGAAATGAACCAATAAGAAAAGAACAAAAACCACCGACAGCGCTATTTGTCTCTAAACACTTTCACTGTATCGTGCTTGTAAATAATCTACGTAATTTCTGAATTGCACTAACACCGAACAAGATTGGGAAACAAGATGAGCTGAAATTAAAGATTAAGTTGAAGCAACCGTTTTGTAAGATAAAAGATAATTTTATAGCTTAATTTAAAATTGCAAATGATTTACATCAATATGTAACGTTAACGTTGTTTTATTAGAAATTTTACAAGATGTAGTCTGCGGCGTTTCCTGAATTAGGAAAACGTAATATAATTTATACATATATGTCTATATGTACATATTATTCTCTTGATATAATATAAGCGTGATTTGTTTTTATATAACTGGTAATAGCAAGCAAACAAACGGCCTACCTATTAAAAAGTGGTAACCGTCGTCTATAGACATGAACAGTACTATGGACATTATGCCTACATTGTAGCATCTATGAGATTGCGATTTCTAAGGATTTAGGTGGTGTGCCTTCTAAACTACCATGTAATTTCATGTTAATAATATATTAGTGGGATCAGTGACTAGTTTTACTAAACAACATGATAGACTGTTACAAATGTTAATAGGCTAGGCACATGTTTAATCACGCGGCTAGCCGTACATGCTCAGCCACTAAGCGTAGTTTATAAACTGAGAGCGAAGTTAGTAAACACACAGTCATTTCGATTGACGATGTGCTCATATTTTTCAACATCTCAGGCGGGATGTTTTTTTTTTTTATATTTCAACCTGGTGTGTTAATCTTGAATAAATTCCAATAAATCGATATTAAGACGTTTTGCACTTACGAATTTCAGTATTAGCAACATAATTGTTTTATGCAACTTAGAATGGCAAACAAGCTGACAACCTGATGGAAAATGGTATCTGTCGCCTACAGACTGGTAATGGTATATATAATGGTTCCATATTGTTCTGATAGATGCATATTAGTACCTATAACTTTTCAACGAAAACTATTGTAAACGGATTCCAATTATAACTTAATTCCTAATAGTTGATTCAAGAGTTGATTGATAATCCGGCTCGCAGATGTTGATGATGATACAAGATGATGGCTAGTAATTGACACGCTTAGTAGGCGCATTGGCAACCGTAGTTAGCCTTTGGTGGTGTTTTAAGAGGGACGCTGCTGCCCATTTCGTTTGTTTTAAGAGTTTGTTTAACTATATCTATTTTCAGGTCCCAATAAATATGGTGATTAATTAATTGTTATATTTAATGAAAAATAGAATTTTAAAAACCAAACTGCGGTTGCCTGTCTGCCTGCCAAACGAGACAACTACTGGCAAAACTCCCCGAATGAGGAAGGCTTATGCTCAGCAATGGATAGTTAACGATCAAAATGAAATGTCATCGAAACTACATAAATTCAAAATTTTTAAAACAATACAACTGATTTTTTTTAACACATATTTATATATTTCAGGAACACCAACATCATCAGCCACGCTGGCTGGCATAAAGTGAGGCATAGTTTCAACATGAAAAAATCAAAGTATAGTTAAATATTCACGCCTTGGCGCCATGAGACACTAAACTCCATAGATTTGTAGGTAACAATGTGACATTGCTGTGTGGAGCCTCAATAAATCCGTTACATCCGTCTCGAGACAATACTGTGAATCTGCATTGTTGCAGAAAACCTTACATTTTTACATTCGACAACATCATTTTACTCCCTTACAGTTCTCTTATTGTTATTACGTATTGTCTTCTATGACGAAAATAATAATGTGGAAAAAATTAAATATCTTTTTATTGAAGTGAAATTTAAGAAACTGAGAGTGTTTTAAAACAATGCTATGTTATGTTAAAAACTTTTGAATATGAATATGTGAATTTTAATTTCTAGTCTCTTTAACTATGGAAAGAAAACATTATTTGGATGCAGAGCAAGCAAAATTATATAACCATGTTTTGTTATTTATATGATTTTTTAATAGGTGTCGTTTTGAAATAATAAAAATGTAAATAGTTAACACTTATACATAATTAAGGGAAATTTAAAACAAAATGAGAGCTTGCCATAAGAACAATAGTTGCTAAAACAATTTGTTTTAGAATTATTGATTATTTGTTTATTCTGGCAACATGCTAAAACTGCTGCACCAAATTGAATACGGTTTTCAGAGTTGTGTTTCGGGAAGATCTGGTAATAACCAGACTTTATCTGGTGTAGGTATGTTTTATTTCAAATGCCATCTAGAATTGGTAACCTACTTGGAAAAATCTACGCGTACGAAGTAGCGGACAAAAGCTTGTTTACTATAAAACGAGGTAAAAGTACTAACTTTAACTAAGTATTTATATGCAGTAAAATGTAACAAATATACCTACTCCTTAATAAGTTAAGTTATACCTAGTTGCGGGTAAATAATACACAATTCGACAAGGATAATTAATAAATAATAATAGCTATTTATAAATATATGTAGGTACCATTATGTACTGTAAAATTAAATCAGAATTTACTAGTCACTGTATTTCTAATTTTGTGCACACTTCTTATTAAAAATTTCCTATTTTTGCAAACTTATTTAGTATCCAGCTGTAACAATTTCACGTAGGTGAAGCAGTTACCACTTTAAATTTTACTTATAATATTATTGTTACTATTCATGCTAAAATGACTCACTGGATTTGAATGAAATTTGGTCCACAGTAAGTTCATATCCTAACTTAACGGACAGGACATTTTATATATTGGTGCAGGCAAACAAAGCCTTGCGAAACAGTCAGTCTGTATGTAAATCTACCTCTACTATAACAGTTAAGGTATATGCAAGGTAATATATGCTAGTGAGAAGTCACACCATGTTCCGCTATCTAATTTTCATTTTATAGAGGAAGATTTACAAGTAGGTATTCTATGTAACTTATAAGTATTCAAGAACTTGCGTGTACTTATTTTATATGCTATATACGTATATCGGCGAATAATAATAGCTACGTTTGTTAGGTCGGTAAGTATATAATGTAATTAGATTCTGTAATCTCATTAGTAATATAATTAGGCAGATACCTTCTTACGTCTATGTCACATGAGCGTCTGTAGTAATTTAATTAATGAATATTTTCATTAATAAAAAACAAGTGTTGAAAATAATTCAGTTTATTTCATATTAATGAATAAGTAAATTCAACTATTAATCCCAACAATACAAGTTACGGTTAACACCACGGGGCATTTCGTTTTTTTTTTGTAGGCAAAAATTTTTTTGTCCGCGTCTTTACCTGTACAGGAACGTCACAATGACGCGCTAATAGCGTGAATCAGAGATGCATCAAAACATTCGCTGTGAATTTGATTATAATTTCGGCCAAATAACTAAATAGTTACAACACTCATGCGAGCATTGATGATGATGATGATTGATTAATGATGAAATTTAGTAATTAAATGATTACCAAATTTCATTTAGCTACATAGCTATTAATAGCGTATTATAATTAACAAAATGCTACTAATTTAATGATTTTTTTTTCTAATTGCAGTGTTGTACTATTTCTGGTAACAGGTTTTCGTGCTAGATTAGAAAAAAATTGAGCTAAACTATATTATACTATATGCCTATTATTGTGCTTATTATTTATAAAATAGAGAAAAAGAATCGCAAAAGTAATAAATAAAATATAAGAAATGGCTAACATTGTACTTAATTTCGGTTGTAATTGAAAAAAATTTTTTTTTCGACGACTTATTATTTAGATCTATTTACTAAATAAAAATACAAGGAGCTAGATCAGAAAAAGGGCTAGATCTAACCTGAAATGGTTAATTTAGCAACAGTAATAAACTGATACAACTTTTAGGGTTATTCGTTTTTCCTAATAACTACTAGTTATTTTTATTTATTACTTATCCGGTAAAAATATTTGTTTTTATTCTTTATTCACACCCTGGGAAGGTGTTTGAATGAGGAGTATGGTTACCTATTCAAATCAACCTATTTTTTGTTGTCATAAAACTAACATTTAGATATAATTGAATAGAAGCATGCAAGCAGGTAGTAGAGTAAACAATTGATAGCTCTCCCCTTTTTTAACGTATTGCACTTGACTGCGTCTGCACAATCGATGCACCTGACAATGGACTATGAAAACGTGCTTTTATTACGATTTAATTTACGGATTTTGTAATAATACATGTTTATCAGGATGATGTTAGGCGATGACTATTTTTTTAATAGTCTGAGAATGATGATGACGATGATGATAATTATATGCATACAAATATTATAAACATTTCCGTATTAAGGTAGGTATTTGTTTATTTAAATAACACGCCCATTAATTACTAGTATTATAATTCTTTAGTCCTCAATTTAAGAGTGAGATAGTGTATTATAAGCTTCGTTGTAAGAAACAAAATAACAAACATCTACAATCACAGCCAGATCCAAACTAACTTAAACTTCGTTTCCTAAATAAGAAAAGTAAAAAATCAGGGTCTCGTTTACGCAAACATTCGTGCCTACCATTGTGCCATAAAGGTCGCAGCTAAACCATAACATACAAACTTACATCTAAAAATGATAATGATGTAGGAATATACTGAATTAAAAAATATATATATAAAATATATGGTATTTCAAATAATACTCATACATTTTATATTAAAGAAAGTTATGAATGGATGAAATTTACTGTAGTAAACATAAAAGAAAGTAGAGTTGTAATGCAGAGACTTAATTAAAATTTTGCTCTGCGAAATCTGAGATTTCCATTTCACAGGCACTGCATGCAATTATAAAATAAACTAAATGTATGAATATAAACGAACTAGAAGCATACCTTGACTACTAATTGCCTCCTAAAATAAGAAAGGGCAGGGCAAGCAAGCGCTGTTGATGATGATAGAGCCTCCAACTCAAGGACCGAACGCACAACACAAGAAAAACTTGTTGTCACTGTTTCGAAACGCATCAATTATATACAAAACTGGCACAATATTTGTAGCTCACTGTTTTTAATACAGATGATGCCAATTTTATAAAATAAATTCATAAAACGCAGAGCTCGCTTCGTAGAAACGGGTTTTTATTTACGAATGTTAAAAATTACGCGCACAATCTACACACTTGCAGAATACGCTAGTGTACCGCGGTGACTGAATGTATAGTAAGACAGAGATAGATTCATGGCAAATGAAAGAGACAAATAGTTATGTGGGTGGGAGGACGATCGCTGTTTCAAGAATGCACACTGGTCTACTTTCCCAGTGTAAACGTTGTGAATATTTCCTTTTGCGTTTGAAGTTTGTGAATTCAAAATCAGATTTCAGTATATTTTTTACTAAGTATAGAAAACTATTTATTATATATATATTGTAGTAGTATTTTAGAAAAAAAGTCAAGAATTAGAGTAGAAAATTAAAATAATAGAAGATAGAGACGAGCAAAGCGTACTAAATAATATAAATTTTTTACCTAATAATTTTCTTTATTTATATAAATTATTAATTTAATAATGATAACAATATAAAGTTACAAAGTTGTACAATATTTTGCCTTTATCAAAACTACTCTTACAAAAAATAATTGCGCAAATATCTTTAATTATATTCAAATTTAATATAAAAGTAATTTTAAATACGGAGGAATTTTACATTAAAATAAAAGGTATAAAAGTAAAGTTGTATTAAACAAAATATTTCTTGCAACCATCTGTTGAATGTTTTGTCCACGCTACCTCTTTGTCGGCGCACAGTGCGGCCGTACCTCCTGTTACCTGGTACCGCGACCGCGGCGCCCCGCAACACCTACCTCACGCCGCACGATTCAAATTTTACGATCCACTACCATAAAGTTCAGCTTTGTCTATCTAAGTTAAGAAGAAACTAAGGGATTCGCAAATTTTACATATCTTATTTAAATTCAAAATATTATATACAAATTAAATAGTAATAGTTATCGTCACGAGATACTTCATTATAATTTGTTTTAAGGTACGTTTTATGGTAGGCTTCTTTAAGTTTATATAATAGATACTTCGAACATTATACACCACAGAATTCTTATGTCGTATAAAGTTTTAAAATATACCTAAATAAAACTTATAGTAATTTATTAATTTAGTTTTGAGTAATATATTTAATAAAGATTCACGGATTTATTAAATGTGAAATACTGGCTCTACCATAGACTGTACATAAATTTTTAGTTAAATATACCAAAGTGAAATTGTATTATTACATAAAATACGTATTTGCAATATCTTCAAAAGGGTTCTAAGGTGGTTCTTATAAAAATATCTATGTAAACCTGTCAGTGCAAATAAATTTAACTTATTTACATACGTTATAGGTCCTATCCTAATATAATAATATGTAATCTAAATTATATGGATAGTGTCTTCATACTAATGCTTCTAGAAACGGGTTATTTTTTTCATACAATTTTGCGTAATAAATAGTTTTGAGTGATTCCTTTATAACTTCCATATTGATTTTATCTTATAAATTTTGCACCTTTTTAATGTGGAAAAACTACTTTTTTCTATTAAGTAAATTATAAAGATATATTTAGAGAAGTGAAGACACAGTAAGAGCAAAAGAATCACAAGTAGATAACAATAAATGAATGGTGACGTAGAAAACATGTATAAAAATAAATTCAAATTATAAAAAAAATTAATTAAAAAAGGTGCACGTCACGGACATGCTTTGCTAATTATATTTGATATGAATAGTCTGGCAAAAAATATTGCTTTAGAATAAGCAAGAAACACATTTTGGTTCTGTAGATAAATAAGTGGAAATTTCCGATTAGCAATAATATTTTTTTTAATTCAAAATATGTACACTCATCAAGGTTATTCGGTTGTTTTTAAGGTTCAGATAATTATCATTTATTAGTATTTCAATGCGTCTATCTGCTATTAAAATTATTAATGTAAGAAAGAGTTTTGAAAACGTCAAATCTAAGCGGATTCTAGTTATTTCTGTAACCACTTGATTAGTGAGGGCGTTAGTTGGTAATTTCTTTTGTGAAAACATTGTAAAAAAAGTAACTTTATATATGTTACAGCAAAGGAAAGGGATTGTTGGGATTACTTGTAGTAACCCTATTACTAGCAATATACATACATATCAGGTCGACCTCCTCGTAGTTCCCCCTGGAAACCGTCGTGATTGATTTGTTATTGAATTTGTCACGATGGGCTAAATGGCCTGCTTCATCTTTACATATCATCTCTCACTGGTGCTCCGCCAGTATATACCGATAACGCAGGCGGGGTCACTATTACTTTATCATCCTATAAAAAAAAACACATCGCTTTATCATCAGATGGTCACGGGTTTCATTATCGTACAATAGAAACATTTGTATTCGCGAGTATGACTGTTTGTATCGATCTGGGTGTTTTTTATGTTATTACACTTACCATATTATTATTATGTATTTATAAGAAAAAATAAATATTTCTATTAGTTGTTTAATATCGATAGTACAAGATCTTTTAGTTTGGAACTAGATGGCGCTATTTGTCTAGTGGTATTTATTTATTTAATATAATTTTCGCCGTGTCGGCCCCAGTATAAAATAGGCCACCTCTTCCTTTCCCATAGGTGTCGTAAGAGGCGACTAAGGGAGGGCGAGGGATGGGCAGCAGCGTTTCTCTTAAATCATCTCTAAAGCCTAACTGCGGATGCCAATCCGCCTGCAAAGCGTGGCAACTACTGGCAAAATCCCCCAAAGTGGAAGCTTATGTTCAGCAGTGGACAGTTAAAGGCTGATATGATGATGATGATGATTACGTGTATAACATAAATCTAAACATAAGTTATAGACTCATTTGCTTATGTTTATATCTTAATATTAAAAAAACATAACTTTTATTGTTTGTTTGACCTTCCATTTGCATTTTATGTAGATCACTGGCTGTATTTATTTAATTATTCTATTGAAGTCAATTGACACAGCGTTGGGAACGTTAGTTCGCTCCGCATGATAGCTGATAAATGTCGTGTTTTTTTTTGTGTAACAAATAACCTAAAAATATATAAAAATATTAACTAACTCTCCTTTACGCTTCGCCTGTGTTGTGTTCACATAAATTTGTATGTTCTACATTTTAATTAATGCAATTTGCAGAATTATACAGTAATTTCTGCTATTTCCTAAAAAAAAAACGTTTCGTGTGAGGTAAGTCAGTCGCTCTTTAAATTATTAGAACGAGGAAGTAGGTAGGTAGTATGTAAATAGTATAATCTAAGGTAAATAGGCACATTGCGAATCTTATTATTCATGGCGCTGTATCATTTTTACTTTGCCTAGATACAATTATATGTATATATATGACTATATTAGTCTAATTATAAGTTTATAATATATAAATATATTAGGTATTGCTTTATGTTTGCTCAATTCATAAATGTACCGCCTACTTATTTCTCTGTTTGCCCAATAGTTGACTAGTAGAGAATAGCGTCCGGTATTAAGCCCGCCAAATGTACATAGAATTTCACTGTGCATTAAAGTTTAAATAAATACAATTACATGAAGGCAAATATATTTTTATATAAGTGTTATAAAGTTAAATATAATTAAATACATAGCTATTTTATGGAACTAATTTTAATTTGGAATGAAAGTTTTATAATTAAACTTAACGATGTTTATATATTAGAGAAACAGTATAATAATAAAAAATGTACATAATTTTAAATATACTTATTACATTTATGAGAGTATTATGCATTTATTTTTGCAAGCAAAAATAATATCGCGTCGTTATTATTCTATCTTTAACTACAGATATGGATTAAAGATAAAAGTTTGAGGGCTATACTTAGATATTCTTGATCTTTTTCTATTACCGCTTTACAGTTTATATTTTTTTTTGTCTGCGTAATTTAACAAAATGTATTTAGGTGTTTATTTACCGTTAGTATACAGTTATTTATAGTTAACGAACATTTCTGCTACTTTAATAATTATATAGTATCGCATTTTTGCAAAATATTTAACAATCTCTTCAACAATGTGACAATCATTCATAAATGTGAGTTCATAATTATATATCACCATAACGTACCTATGAGAGGCGAAGTGATTGCCACTACTAATAGGTACTTATACCCTATTCCATCAGGTCATTCTCCACGTGGTTCTCGCTGCAAACTATATCGGTTATTTCTTGTAGTACTTGCCATTCGTATTTCTACCGTGAAGCAGTTTTGTTTGCATTGCTGTGTTTCGATTTGAAGGGTGGGATATGGCGTGAATTTACCTGGTGAAGGAATGGCAACGCATGGGGGGTATCACGGGCGAAACAGTATACTCTGTTATGTCCATGGTACTGCTCATGTCTATAGGCGACGGTTACCACTTTCTATCAGGTGGGCCGTCAGCTTGTTTGCCATTCTAAGTTGTATAAAAAAAAATACAAAATTCCTAATCTTTTTTACAACTGTTCTAATCGAAGTGGCACCGTTTCACTTTATATTTTGAGTAATAAAACTTTGTAGACTTGTTAGCCAATGATTAGATATGATATGACTGTTCAGTACTGTTTCGTTTTTACCATCTCTTATCAGTTTTTTACACGGTGTTATCATAGAAGAACAAGATTTGTCTGAACATTCAGGCTCGCCACTTATCGACAATGATCAAAATTATTTTTTATTTGTTAGAATATTTAAAGAAAAGAAAGAATAAAGCTGAAATGATACAGGTAATAAAAGAGGCTCGGCAACATACCTATCATGGTCAAGTAGACTGCATGCTACGAGTATTTAAGATAAAAATCAAGTCTCCGGAACTGGCATGTACGAGGTCTGTCCGGAAAGTTATAAAAGTGTTCTGGAATGCGAGAAAGAGGAGTACAGTAGAATAAGCAAAAGAATTATGTAAACGAAACCCCGTCGCCCGCTTCCGTTGAAGAGCAGCGCGTCGTAGAAATGCTGTGAAGGAACGTTTCAGAGAGGGCAATTAATTAATAAGAGACAGTTGATGGAAAATTATATTTTTGTTTATTATTTGATCCATTACGGTGACCGAACACCCCCCCTTAACTGTCCATTGTAAATGAGATAAAAAAAGCTACGAATATAGGTCTCTACCATAAGTCAGGTTTTGTTTATTAAAAAATAAAATTATATTTAGTAGAATAAGCAATACATACATATATAATAAATATATGTTTATTAACTTAACTGTCCATTGTTGAATATAGGTCTCTACCATAAGAGGTTTTGTTTATTAAAAATTATATTTAGTAAATACATACATATATAATAAATATATGTATAACTAGCGACCCGCCCCGGCTTCGCACAGGTGCACATTACATCACATTACATTGGAAACCTCTAAAATTATCAGTGTTTCTCTACAATATTATGCATGTATTATACATATAAACCTTCCTCTTGAATCACTCTATCTAATAAAAAAAAAAACCGCTTCAAAATCCGTTGCGTAGTTTTAAAGACATAAAGCATACATAGGGACGGACAGACAGCGACAGCGACTTTGTTTTATACTATGTAGTGATGATACGGAATAATATTACTATTAACAACATCAAGTGTAAATTAAATAAATATTTCTTGCATGATGTTAATACAAGTCGAATAGTTTTAATGCACATATAATATTTAGCATTAATATAAACATACGTGGTTTCTGAATGCTAATATAACATACTTTCTATAATTCTGAATCTTTGTAATAATAAATAAATAAAAAAATACAGACTACTATATATTAAATATATGTTTGTCACTCTATAAAGCCAAGTTTCCTGAAATGAAGTGAAGACGATGAAACATTTATAATCATAAATAGAATGTAACCATGCATATAATAGAAGAGACTCAAATGACCTAATAATTGCTTCTTTCTGTATCACACAATATATAATAATACCTTATTAGGCACTTGCATTAACATTAAAATAAATAATTCGCTCAATTGCCAAAGTGACCAACGTGAAAACTTAAAACAATTAATACATACTCGTATAATAAAATCGTAACTGGTCACTGTCTGTACATGGAAGATATATAAGAAAAACTATTATAGGAAGGCTTTATAAACGCAATAGAACATTTTTTTTTTATTTAATTGTACGTTAATTATTCACTTGTCATTGTATATTTTTATTTATGGTGCAATAAAGAATTAAATAAATAAATACGTTTGTGCATGCTAATCTCAAAAACGTCTTAATCGATTCGAATGCGGTTTTCACTATTGCGTTGCGGTTTGCTCCATTTAAAATGAATTGTGTTTATTTTATTAGTTCGGTTCATAAACAAAAAATTGTATCAATATAAAGAATCACATATAAAATGCTATAAAATAACTGATTAGTTGACTTGGCTGAAACTTTATGAAGGTATATATATATATATCATATTTTAACTCATAGGATATTTTATATACCGATTCACGTGGGCAACACCGCAGGAAACTGCTAGTAAGGAATATGTCTTTATTTAAAAATTCTGCATGCGTATCTCTGATTCACTCGTGTTTTTGCGCCCCGGTAGTAGTATAGTAACCCCGCCTGCGCTAACGGTATACGTTGGCGGAATACTAGTGAGGGATGTCATATGAGAATAAGAGGGCAGGTTAGTTAGCTCATCGTCGTGAATACACTGCAATTTCACACGATGGTTTCTAGGGGGGACCACGTGGAGGTCGACCTGACAGCGTATATTGCTAACAATGGGACTGGTAGTCCGCATTACTAACAATACCTTCCCCCCGTATATCCTATGATATAACGAGTAGGTATACTAGGTACTTGTAACATTTTTCCATCAATTACACCGTTAGAATATGAAACTTAGAGTAGCAGTTTTGTTTACGGCCGACCTGAAGGAAAGTGTCTGCTATCACAAAAAAAAAAACGGTGACTCCATGGTACTTTTTATGCGTTACCATTATTCAGAGTACTAAGGTGTTGTGGAGTACAGGCCACATATGCTACCTATTCATAGTTTTTATTATTATTTACCAAATTCGAAATTGACACGCAACTCTACTATTTCCTTTTGGCCCTTCCCTTCATGGGCCTAGTCTTCTAAGTTTCTTCTATTAATATACACATAATTCCAATTTCTATTTCTGGCTTCTTTTATCGCCCATAGGTGTTATGTTTCCGAACCCTGTAATTTCACTTTCATTTCAGGTTCTATAAAATATATGTTTTGTTTGGTTCCAAGATTTGGTCCTTGTACCTAATAACCTCGTCTGAGACCAATGGCGGCGAGGTTAGCGAGCTGGTGGCGGGAGTCGCTTCGTCGACGTCCAGTGATCACCAACACTGTGGTTTACGCTACATTCTACACAGCCGCCGAGCTTTCACAACAAACATACAACAAGATATATTCGGTAAGACTAGTGCTGAATTTATCAATAAGCCCTTGAGCTCGCGGCCTAAGGGAAACCAAACAAGGGGCGACAGATTCTTTTTATCTACTTTTTTTTTGGGATTTTTGTTTTTAACACGTCAATCCCGAGAGGAGGGGGGTGATTGTTAGTAATGCGGAATATCTGTTCCATTACTAGCGATAAACCCTGTCAGGTGGACCTCCACATGGTCCCCTCTGGACACCATTGTGCTATATTCCAGGTGTATTCATCACAATGGGCTAACTGACATGCATTTCCATTCTCATCTATCATCCCTCACTGGCGCCCCGTCAGTGTATACCGTTAGCGCGGATGGGTTTACCATTCCATTATCCATTAAAAAAATATGTCAATCCAATAATGTTTAAACAGGTTATCGTACAACTATAACGACTTAATTCCACTTACTAATTCGCTTAAGCACAAGGCAATTTTGGCAGTAGGAGCATGCATTATGTTCTGAACAAAACCCATATCAAATTAATGTTAAATGTTTTTAAATATTTCTCTTTCACTTTGGTTCCTATTACATTCCCCTGGGGACGGCAGATTTTGCAAACATAAAATCCCGTAAAGAAAAAAATTTAATATCACTTTACGCTCCTATTATTAAATCGCTAGTTGATTCATTCAATCACTTTGCAATATATATGTATTTTATCAATCCACATAAACGCCTATATAAATAGATACAAGTGACAGCCTCTCTTCTTCCTAGAAAGGCGGTATTCTACCGCCCTTCTAGGAAGGAGAGATGTCTATAATTTAGACGAATATAAAATCTGGTACTAGGTTAGGCATACGAGGTCTGTCCGGAAAGTTCGTATAAAAGTGTTCTGGAATGCGAGAAAGAGGAGTTAAGCGCAGGACCCCTTCCTTATGTACCTAACAATGCTTCAGTTCTTGTCTGACCGCCGTGCGGTGCGAAGTAAGTTACCTCTTAACGAAACCCCGTCGGCATGGAGCCCGCTTCCGTTGAAGAGCAGCGCGTCGTAAAAGTTTCTCTCGAAACTCGGCAAGAATGGCCGTGAAATTTTTGCCGATCTCAGAACAGTTTATGGGGATGATGCTGTGAAGGAACCAACCGTCCACAAGTGGCTAAAAAGATTCAGAGAGGGCCGAGAAAGCGTTCAAGATGACCCACGTTCAGGACGTCCTTCCACCTCACATTCCGACGAAAACGTGGAAAGAATTCGAACTTGTGTTAATGGGGACCGTCGTTTAACGGTCAGACAGGTGGCTGAAGAGCTTAATTTGGGCAAAACCGTGGTCCACGAAATTCTAAGAAACGAACTTCAAATGAAAAAATTTGCGCCAAGATCGTTCCGTGAGTTTTTGAGTAAAAATTCCATTACGGTGACCGAACACCCCCCTATTCGCCGGATTTGGCCCCGTGTGACTTCTTCTTGTTCCCAAAAACCAAATTGGTACTTCGGGGGCGGCATTTGGGGGACATAAATGAGATAAAAAAAGCTACGACGGGGCAGCTGAGAAACCTACAACCAGAGGACTTTCAAGGAGCCTTCTCACAGTGGAAACGGCGTTGGCACAAGTGCATTATGTCACAGGGGGAGTACTTTGAAGGGGATAAAATTGATTTACCTGAATAATTGTAAAATAAAATTTTTAAAAAACTTTTATACGTACTTTCCGGACAAACCTCGTATGTTTTTGATTGAAATGAAACAAAACAAGTAGATACTGTTTCACAAAAACTGCAATACCCAGAGAAAATTTATCATTTGCTAAAAGAAACATTAAAATCAGTTCTAGACTTTTAGGTACTTATAAAACAATTTTTTTTAATGGGTGATAATGGAATGGTAACCCCACCTGCGCTACCGGTATACGCTGGTGGGGCACCAGTGACTGATGATAGATGAGGATGAAAGCAGGTCAGTTAGCCCATCGTGACGAATTCCACTAGAATTAACCACGATGGTTTCCAGGGGGAACCACGTGGAGGTCGACCTGATAGGGTATATTACTAGCAATGGGTTCATTAGACCTATTATTAACAATCCCTTCCTCCCCTTATAAAACAATTGTAGTGACAAATTGACGGGCTCCCCTTTTTGAATTCGCTTTAAAATAATGCTTTATGTTACAATTAGTTATCTGTACGTGGGCCTAGATCGTAGATTTAGAATAAGTAACTACTCACGAATTTATATTATTTTAAATTTTTCTCTCGGAATTAATATATCAGTTTTTGGCGTGGCCGGTTCTAAATTGATATTTTATGAAATTAATTATTGGGATAAATATAAAGTATGTATTTTTTTCGGCATTGTCTAATTTAGTTGTCTGTATATAGTATTATACTGTTTGTATCTATGCTAATCTCTAGCTTAAACTGTGTGTCCATCCGTGACTCGCAATTATAACTTTATGAATAGAACTCAATATGTTTTTTATTTAAAAATGTATTTACACAATATTAGCTACATTTTACTACTATTTGTGATTTTACAGAAATTGTTTCATTTTGTCATCAATCTTTATGCTATCCTAGTTACGTTATTTTTTATAAATTTTATAACCATTATACGGAATATTAGAAGAAATATCTAATAAATGTTACAAAAACAATGGCAGCGGTGGGATTCGAACCCACGCCTCCGAAGAGACTGGTGCCTTAAACCAGCGCCTTAGACCGCTCGGCCACGCTACCGATGATGCTTCCAACTCTATGTTTACATATCTATCTATTACGATTGAAATATAGGTCACTGTCTAAATTTAAAGGCAAATATTTTTTTAAGAATTTAACATCAGTTTCTTAGACATTGGTGTTGGATGGTTACCATGTTGTACACGCAAACCTTTAGCATCTATGTTGCATAGAGTGCGGGTTAGTCCCAACAGTTTTTTTAAAACTATAGTTGGGAAGCTAAAGAGTTCAGTTTGAAAACATTAGTTTACCCTCCAAAAATAAAATTCATATAAAAATAATTGTACATACCTACTACCCTTTTGCTGTTGCTTCGTACGCATGGCTTTCAGAGTTAGGAAAACAAATAAAATAGATCAATTTCTAGAAGACTTATAAGATTTATACTGGAATTTAATTTAGATTTTTAAGAACAGAACTGTGAATTTCGTATCCATTTTGATGCAGTAGTTTTTGCATGACATGGATCAACATACATATATACAGACAGACATATATATATATATATATATATATATATATATAAACTAATAAAAGTAACACAAGTTGTTAATAATAATGTTATTATAGCAGTATATTATAGAATTAAGGTCTAAATTTAAATAGTTCCTGCATGTAACTATATATATATATATATATATATATATATATATATATATATATATATATATATATATATATATATATATATATATATATAACTTGATGTAATATGAGACAATAAGTAAATACTATTGATTGCAAAAATTATTCAATCGATATATAATTGGTGAAAATATTGCAAAACCTATCCATAAAGTATATTATAATCAAAACTCGAACCTCCTTCTGTCTGGAGATGGTTGATAATTTGTTTAATGGAACGTTTCAGCCCAAGAAACCTGACATGGACTTTGCAGCCGCGGGCCGAATTGTCTCAGTCGGGAGCAGTCTTTACGCCCCCACACTATATTACTGGTACATGAATTCTGATAATTAGTTATCATTATAAATAGTCGACATGTTTCTGTTATTCTTTTTATTCAAAAGACAATTTTTTTCTGTTAATTTAAATTCAGTATACAAAAGCACTCCAGTAACAGTATACACAGAGAGCAAACCAAATAAATCCGAGAGATCGCAGTTGGCTCCAGTTGGATTATAGTATGCGAAATGTCGGCATGTTTATCACTGTTACGCTTAACACAAATTTTTTGACTACCCTTTTAGGGATTATGTTCAAGAGTATAATAAATTTCATTTTTTATTAATACAATTAGCTGTAAATTAAATTTTATACGATTTTAGGTACAAATTTTTGGACAAAAAATTCACGGGGACAGCATTGAAAATTGTAGCAACAAAGGTAGCTTCTGACCAATTCATTATGACGCCGATATTACTGGCCACTTTTTATACGTGTAAGTTTATTAACTCAAATAATTATAGTATGTTTTTAATGCCACTATACCTCTCAACTATTGTCGTAGCTACTAACACTTGTTTGATAAGCATTTATTTCACGATCTATCTGTACATCGATAGGAATCATAGACAGATGTAGGCGTAGATAGATTTTATGCCTGTCCTTTTTAGTATAGCTATTGATGTTTATTTATTTGGTATTTAAAATATTTGCACTGAAAAAAATATTTGACTTGCGGCAGATACCTATTAGGTAAGGATGTAATATTTGCATGGTTGTATTTCAGTTTAAAAGGTGGGCATATGGCAGTGGAATTACAGGGCATAGAGTTATAACACCTTAGACCTCAGGAATGGCAATACATCCTCATGTAGGTACTATGGTTGTTACAGTGTATTCTGTGATGGTCACGATAGTATTTATGCACAAAGGTAACGATTAACATTTTCCATCAGACTAGTTCTCTGTAATTCGAAGATGTATAAAAATTAACTTTATTTTGCACAGTATTAGGAGTGTTAGAGCGACGAGAGGACATTTTTGAAGAGCTACGTCAGAAGTACTGGAAAACATTTCTCGCCAATCAAGCCTTTTGGATTCCTGCTCAGACTATTAACTTCTACTTTATGCCGTCTCATCTACGAGTAGTTTATGTAGCATCTACGTCTTTCATTTGGATAAATGTATTGTGTTTTATAAAAAGACAAAATCCAGAGAAAATTGTTGCAATTGAATAATCATATTAGGTAATTTGTTAGCGAGATAATGAAATAAATATCTAAGTAAGGTAAATGTTGTATAATGTAGAAAAAGGTCTATTTTTTCACAAATGTTCAAATGATTGTGTAAATAAATAATTATTTTATAATCTGTATCTACTGCGTAAGATATTTTTAATATAATGTCTATTGTAATTATACTATTTATTAAAATATTAATAAAATATAATTAGATTGATTGTGCTTTTTTTGCACAATATTGCACAGTTGCACATTAAAACATGTTTTAATGTAATTGTGTATTAAAATCTTTAAAAATGGTAACGTATGGGTATCACAGACTTGTGTAACGTCCATGCTGTTAATACATAAAATATTATTAATAGTTGCTGTGCTGAGAAGGTTACACCGTCATCTGATAGTAACAGTATGCAACAGAAAATGTCCACATTCAGGAGTATTCGTATAGTTTATTCAAGTATGACCTAAAATCATCATGGGGGGGGGGGGTTGCCAGCAGTTGCCACGCTTGACAGGCTGATTGGTTAACCGCAGTTAGGCTTTGATGATGTTTAAAGAGGGCCGCTGCAGCCCATCCTACGACCATTAAATTCTCTTAGTCGCCTTTTACGATACCACAGATAATAGAATACTATACGATACCAACGGGAAAGGAAGGGATGGCCAATTATATGTCGGGCCCACACGGTAATGACCTAAAATACGACAACCATATACTGAAGTACTTCTAGAAAGCTTTTTGTTACGTGATTTCTTTGATAGACGGCTGGTATGACCCATAATTTTATGTAGGTATTATTATTTGACTCAAGTATAACGTAGAAGGTTCTTGACTGGAATTGTTCTGCCACAGCTGTTAGATGTATTTAACGTCAATACTCGATTAAAATTTGGTATGAGAAAAATAAAAATGGGATTTCTATATTTGGGGGAACAAATTTACAAATTTCTTTTCATAAGATCCTTCTTTTGACTTCAATGAATATTAAAAAAACTTTTGTAGAATTGGTCTAGTATTTTTCGAGGTTTGAGCTTAACAACAATGAAATATTTTTATTCATATACGAGTAGATGATCCAAATCCTTTAAGGGATAGATAAAGAAAATGTCCATAAGTGGTCCTATGGGCTCTTTTATTGCGTAATATTACAGCATAGGTTGTTAACAAGATCAATTTGTAGTCTTGACATCTTAAGGCTTCATTTGATCTACATACTTTGCACTTCATTTCGCGTATTACGTTTATTTCAGTCTATATTCAAGTGCCAGACTGTTATGAGCTCCGCAGCTCACAGTCATGGTTCACTTAAATATTTTGATGAACTGTTCTGTACAAGACGAATTGTTGTTTAATTTAACATATAACGAGTTAAATATTACGACAACAAAAAGTGAACTCACCAAAGCAGTCGGTTTCGGAACTGCCACTGGAATTTTGGTATCTTTAATAATTAATATTATTTTGAGTTTACTGGTAAGTATTTCAGTGTAATTAAATTACGAATATATTTTACAATACAGTGTCTGTACTTATTCTGTTCTTGTTTCAGTATTCCAGAAGGCAGAATATAGATTTAAATACACAATTTATTAATAAGAAAATAGTTTTAAGGTCTATTGGAATAATATCATTAGTAATTTTGTTACCAACGTTGTTAGTATTGTTACTTATAGCTGTGATATATAAGTTCTTATACTCAAGATTGATTAAAAAGAAAGACAAATATTTTGTAAGCTTCCTAGATAGTTTTGATGTCTTCTGGAACTTGGAAGGAGACTCTGTAATTAACATTTTAGGTGTTATAGAATCAAAATCGTCGGAAGCCCTTGTTGAGAATATAAAGAATAAACTACAAAATCTTATTCTCAATAAAACTACTGATAAGATTTTTTATAGGAAAAATGAAGACTACGGATTCTATTATTGGCGGAGATACAGTAAAATTGATGTAAGCGAATATGTTGAAATCATTGAACTTTCAGACAAATATGAACATGGTATGAATGATTTAGAGGAGTTAATGTCAGATTTGGCAAATCAATCGTTACCTTACAATAATGAAGGACTATTTAAAATTTTAATAACGAAGCAAAGAATTGGAAATTATAATGACGAAAGAGGAGAGTATGCAATAATATTTAGAATACACCACTCTGTCGGTGATGGTGTAGCGCTTATTGATTTTTTATGTGAATCTCTAGCTGATAAGTCAGACAGCCAAGCAGCGAAAACTTTTGTTATGCCCAAGATTGAATATAACACTCCTAGTGACTTAATAAATATGATAAGAAAACTGTGCGCCATACCTTTATGTATAGTAGATCTTATGTTAAGAAATGCAGATAATAACACACTCCATGGTCCTACACTGCTTGGAATAAAAAGATTTAAATGGACAAATTCCGATGAGAATATTCTAACAATGATAAAAGGAATAAAAGACAATGTTAATCAACTTACCTTTTCAGATATTTTAGTAGCAGCATTGTCTGGAGGTTTAAATAATTATTTTAAGAAGGTAATGCAAGTAATTTTAAATATTTTTAAATTAAATTAACTATTGTCTAATTGAAATTTTAATTTCTAAACAGACTATGGCTCCTGTTCCAGAAGATGTAGCAGTTATTATACCAGCTAGAATCCCTAAAACAAATTTTCATAAACAACATTTTACAAATGATTTCACTGTATCTATATTGGATGTGCCAGTAAAAGAAGGAAATTTAAACGATATTAAAGAAAGATTTAAGAAGTTACGGGGTGGCGTTGAATTTCAGGTTTGTATCAGATAATTTATAAGTATGTTTACGAGTATACATTTTTTCACAAACACTATTTAGAAAACAAAATTGTGCATTTTATTAAATTTATATAAACTAGTTGTAACAAATATTTTTTTTTTTCAGACAAATCATTATTTTCTTAAGTTAGCGAATATTCTACCTAAGCAAATTCTGGAGCCTATGTTCTACAGTAGTCACGCGACTGTCGTCTTAAGTGGCATGCCAGGACCTGAATGTTTAAGTATTTGTGGGGGTAATGTCCTAAAGAGATTAGTATTCTTCGTACCACACAAAGGGACAACAGGCATGTATTAAAACTACCTTAGTGTGTAATGTAATACAATATTTTCACCTGTGACTTCGTGGTTTACGCATCGTAGTTCATCTTACGCTTTGTGTAAAGCAAAACCATAGGAGATATTGTTAAGTTACTTAATACTTTACCCTATTATGTTGTCGGTTGTGAATTACAGAATTTTATTAATATTATAATTAAAAAATGTAATGAGGCGTCTTAACAAGACTGTCTGTTTGTATGTTTGTTCTAGCATCACGCAAAAACTACTACATCAGATTGTATGCAATTTTCACAGTTGTATTCCTGAAGGTCCAACTTAAAAATTGGTATGTGTTTTATCATAGTGCCCAACTTAGACGTGGTAGATTTCATTAGTTTTCTTTATTCTAAATTCTATGCGTGCAAAATAGCGGCTAACCTAGTATTTAAATATAAAACTATGTTAATTACATTACTGAAAAACAATTTATGTTTTTCTGTTATATCTACTTAGGCCAGCAACATGTTATACGTGTATATCTATGGCGGAAACTAAGTTTTTAATTACGAGAAAATTTGCTCGCTTATCTTACAAAAACTGCAGGCATTGCATATGTGAAAATGTCTTATCTGTCGTTGTCTTATGAACCATTAATTTTATATTACTTCACTAGTTTTTAACTAGTGGGTCGACAGCTTGTTTGCTTTTCTAAGTTACATAAAAAGAAATAAAAACAGATTAGGCACTCGTTCTCATTGATTTTCGAGATATTGTAATTCCTACTAATATTTACGTTTTGGTTTGATTTGTAACTTTCTAATCTATGTAGGCGTAGGGGTAACAGCTTTCTGCTATGGTGGCGTACTTCGGTTAGCAGTATCAGCTGACAAAGCATTGATGCCAACATCAGAACACTTGAGTTTTATTCTTAATGGCATGGTTGATGAGATCAAACGGCTTCATGCACATTATACGAGAATGTAAACACGTATGCGTGATACGTACTTGGCTTGAATATGGCGTTTCAGTAAAAGGTAAGAACTTCGAGTTTTTATTTTCAAGATAGACTATATTTGTTTAGAAAAATAAAATTTTAATTAATAATATGCTTTTTTGCGCAATTTTATACTGCATTCAATTTAGTGTAGTAGTTTTTGTGTAATGTCAATTTGTCTCTTTATGTTTTATACAAACACATAAAGAAATAATTCAAAGTTATTGTTTTGGCTTTTATTGCTTTTAAGTTTATTCTATATATATTTCTTCAACAAAACTATATATATATATATATATATATATATATATATATATATATATATATATATATATATATATATATATATATATATATATATATATATATATATTATGGAACAAAACTGATGATTTTAATAATTCCTAAACCTAAACCTAAACAATTTAAGGATATAACAAATAATTTTATTTAAATAGTTTAAAAAAGAAAAAAAGAAAACTTTAGACACCCTATTATGATAGTAAGTAAAAAAACTTGATCAGTTTTTATTGGCAAATGTAAATATGTTTCATTTTCTTATATAAAAATTTCTGTTACAGATATGGAGATAGCCAATTTTGCCATTGATGTTCTTGCTTAAATAAATTATACGAATATATTATTAATAATAAGATTTACGATCTAACAATTTCTAAAATTGCATCAGTCAGATGTAATATGCAAACTCAAATATCACGCCGTTTATACTCATGTATGCATGTTTTAAATATTTAGAAATAATTAATTTTTATTCTACAAATAAAATAATCTACGAGGTCTGTCCGGAAAGTTCGTATAAAAGTGTTCTGGAATGCGAGAAAGAGGAGTGGGGAGGCCAGGTAAGCGCAGGACCCCTTCCTTATGTCCCTAAAAATGCTTCAGTTTTGGTCTGACCGCCGTGCGGTGCGAACTGGCTTGTCACGCCATCTGTGAAGTTACCTAACGAAACCCTGTCGGCATGGAGCCCGCTTCCGTTGAAGAGCAGCGCGTCGTAATCAAGTTTCTCTCGAAACTCGGCAAGAATGGCCGTGAAATTTTTGCCGATCTCAGAACAGTTTATGGGGATGATGCTGTGAAGGAACCAACCGTCCACAAGTGGCTAAAAAGATTCAGAGAGGGCCGAGAAAGAGTTCGACGTTCGGGGGATTGTCCATCAAGAATTCGTCCCTCCAGGCCAGACAGTTGATGGAAAATTCTACGTCGATGTGCTCAGACGCCTCAAAGCTCGTGTGGCACGAGTTCGTCCAGAATTGGCGCGAGAGGGGCGTTGGATTCTTCACCACGACAATGCCCCTGCCCACACCTCTCTTGTTGTCCGTGAGTTTTTGAGTAAAAATTCCATTACGGTGACCGAACACCCCCCTATTCGCCGGATTTGGCTCCGTGTGACTTCTTCTTGTTCCCAAAAACCAAATTGGTACTTCGGGGGCGGCATTTGGGGGACATAAATGAGATAAAAAAAGCTACGACGGGGCAAAGGACTAATTAATTCTCACAGTGGAAACGGCGTTGGCACAAGTGCATTATGTCAAAGGGGATAAAATTGAACCTGAATAATTGTAAAATAAAATTTTTAAAAAACTTTTATACGTACTTTCCGGACAAACCTCGTATAAGAAACATGTATTTATTTCAAAGTAAAAATATGGTCCTAGCAAATACGTAAAGTCATTAACTAAAATAATAATATATTTAAAATTAATCAATAAATTATAAATTAGGTATTCCAAACTACATGACCCGGTGTTAATTGTTCGATAAAGGCTTTTAACCGCAGATTTTCTAAGTAGAGTATATTGCACTTCCGGATCTAAAATCGATGTTGTAAATTATATATATAGGTAGTAGAAATATTTTAAACATCAGTATATTTTTATATATGGAGCCATAGTTTTAAAATGGGATTGATTCAGTCGACTTAGTTATAATCATAGATTATTTTTTAATGGGTGTTAAGGGAATAGTTACTCCACCTGCGCTATCGGTATACGCTGGTGGGGTACTAGTGAAAGATGAGATGGGTGAGGATGAAACGAGTCAATTAACCCATAATGACGTATTAATAAAGAATTAATCAAGATGGCTTTCAGGGGGAACCGCGTGGAAATCAACCTGATGGGGTATATTGCTAGCAATAAGTAGTTAGATGTCCGTTACTAATAATCCCTTTTCCAATAATACATTTAAAGTTTTTTTATACAACTTAGAATGGCAAACAAGCTGACGGCCCACCTGATAGAAAGTGGTAACCGTCGCCTATAGACATAAGCAGTATCATGGACAAAGTATACTGTTTCACACATGATACCCCCCATGCATTACTATTCCTGAGGACTCAGGTTATTCTTCTGTACCCTGTTAATTCACGCCATATCCTATCTCCTATCCACCCTTCAAACCGAAACACAGCCATGCAAACAACCGTTTTACAGTTGAAACACGAATAGGACAGAGATGCCCAAACAAACGATGTTTGTACAAAGTCTCCCTCTGGTGTATTCTTACTATATACTGTATAAATATATAAGTAAAAATATCGCATGCCGCGTAGCAGACGCATTTTTAACAAATTTCATGGTGGAAATTCTTAATTTTTTTTATATGTCATATTAAGCGGTATCTTTGTCAATTCTGAACAATTTAGATGGTTATTAATTGTATATTTGTGTTGGTTTTCCATATTAATTACGTCAAGGTACTACACCTTGTAAATTAAAGTTTTTTTAAGTAATTACGTACTCGGTTTGTCCACATTTTTAAATTTAAATCTAACATGCAGAGGCAAGTCTACAAACCATTAATGTATTATTGACGGAGGCAATTGCACGGACGAAGGTTAATAATACTCGACCTACTTTTTTGACTGTTAAAATAGAACGTAATAATCTATAATAATTGTATATTATTGATTGTAAAATATACACAAGTCCGTCGTAAGTTCCCAAAAATACAACGGAGAAATCTGTCCTCCACGAATAAATAAGTTTTGTCCGTGTAACTAACATAAATAGGTGTATAAAAATCCCGTATATTACGTATGATATTTATTCACTATAATTTATGTAAATTATCAACCGATTTTAATGAAATTTTGTAGATATGTACCTATTTGTCCAACTTGAGAGACAGGGTTATTTTTATGCTTTAAGACAACATTTGTCGCGCCGGCTAGTACTTATATGTACCTACAAATGTCCTGAATACTCACCTCAGCAAGAAGTAATGCTGTATGTGCATTCTGTTCTGCTGTCATGCACAGCTTCAGTCGTTGTTCCAATTCCATACGCGCTCTCTCTGTCGATCTTACCACGCTCTTCACTACATGCTTTAAGAGTTCTATAGTTTCTTTATATTTATTTACCTGTTTTTGATGTAAAATTTTAAGAAGTTTATAGAGCAACTAATTTTTAACTACAGTAATGTTTTTATTTGATCATGTGTAATGTCATCTGAATAATGTTATGATGATGAGGTCTAAGCTTTTTTAATAATGAAAATGATGATACAAGTTCCTATACTTTATTAATCAATAAAACAAGAATCAATGGAATGGTAACCTCGCTGACACTACTCATATTTTATACACTGGCAAGGTATATAATAGATGGATGAGGGATGATATGTAAGGATGGAGTGAGGTCAACTGGTCCATCGTGATGAATTCATCAGGAATTACGATAGTTTGTTAGCAATAGGATTACTAGTTCTAATTATTGATAATTTCATCCTCCTACAGTAATATGAAAAAATAGACGTCAGAAGTTAATTCCACTTCTTGGCTGTTCAGATAACAAACAAAAAAGTTGAGCATTTAATACCTGCCAATGATGTTTTCGCTTTAACGCTAAAAATCTCTCTCCAACTGTGAGTAAGGTTTCATGTGCATGAATGAGCTGGGCGGACAGTTGCTCTGTGCGTTTCTGTAATTCCTCTATAGTAGCATCTCGAACGTTTACAATGCTGCAGCGTTCATCATACGCTCGCAGCAAAGCTTCATAACGTTTCGAAAGTTCTTCATACCTGAATAATATGGTGAAAAATAATAATTACGGTAATTTTAGGATCATAATTATATTAAAAAAGGACTTTTTTAAAATGAGTGAGAATGAAATGATAACCCCTCAATGATACAGGCGGGCGATAGATAAGGATGAAAGCAAGTCAATCAAGATATTCATAAGAATTAATCACAATAGTTTCCACATGCGCGTGGAAGTACATTGCTGATAGGGTACATTGCTAGCAATGGGGCTGTTAGACCCATTATTAACAGTCTTTTCCCCTAAAAAGACTTTTGGCAAAATTAGCATGAGACTAAAATGGGAGTAAATTTATTGTTTAAAAAAGAGTAGTGAATATTAATTATTATTCCCGTTTGTTTTATGGACCAGTGACACAATTATGAACATCAGTTAACTAGGTAGTCATGCGAAAACACGACTACTAAAGGTTACTGGGAAGTAACTTCATAAATCTAAAAAAATATATATATATCCTAATTGGCCAGGACGTGGCAAGGACATGCATATTGAAGTAAACAAAATACGTTTTATTCAGTATGTTTGTTGAGCGTTCATTGTGGTAATAATTGTCTGATCGAAGCAATGCATTGTATCATCTTAAATATTACAAATATATAGCGCAACATACAAACAAAAAATATTATATTTCAGTTAGATACATTCTACTTCCTGAAGTTGTTTTAATAGTTTCAAGTTATGATTAACTTACTGATACTGAAGACAGACAATGCTCATAGTAGACCAAGATTCGGCTAAATCCACTTGACTTCTGGACGTTTGTTTTATTTCTAAGTTAAAGAAAATTGTTTACTTATTTTTAATTATTTTTTATGCTACTGGGAGCAATGATTGTGTAACGAGAGATATCGTTATATTCGTAAGACAAAAAGTAAGAATATAAGAAAAATCCCAAGTTATAATCTATTCAACGAAAGACGGTAGTCTTCTCCTACAGACAGGAATATCATTAACATCACAAATATATTGTGATGGTATAACACTTTATGTTTTATTTCTCCTGATGATTAAGATATTAAACTTAAGTATTGTTGTTTAATGAAAATAAAACCCAGACAAGTTGCATAAATAGTACCCATTACTTTAAAAAATACATTATTATATTGCATTAGAAATATATTTGACAATTCATAAGAACACATTGTGGAAGGTATGGAAGAATGGCGCTACGAGATATATTTTTCATGCTTAAAAAGAGATGCAGCAAAAACTATTTTATTAATGTCAATAAGCAAAACATTTTTTTTTTCAAGTTCCCTGTAGACATAACAAGGAATTGTTCTCCAGGGACAAACACGGCGAAATCTCTCAAAGAAAAATAAATGTTTTGAAAGTTCTTTACTACCTGTTTTTGTAAATTTCTCAGACGGTTCGCTGTTGAACCATGCGTTGGTTCGAGTGCGACAATGGTAGGCCTTACACCGCAGCAACCGTTTTTCGTAATTGTTTGTCTTGCTGAGGCTCTGTTCTAAACTATGAAGTATATTGCGAGCATTTTGTAGACCGTTCAAGAGATTCTTATGTGCAAATGTATTATTGCTCGGTGTCTGGGAAAGTATCAAGTATATAATATTTATATTCTTCACACTAAGTTAGGATGTTATGGGAATAGTGTTTTAAACAAGAAAGGATTTATTTGTCAAATAGATCTTCACGTAACCCCTTCGAGATGGACCTGGCTTCACTGCATCATTTACCACTAATGCCTTGCTACTTATTATTTATATCATGTTAGCGTAGGAGTGAGCACCAATCTCCAATACTAATAAAATGTAATTCATCATTAGGGTGTACCCCAAATTGTGCGTTTAAAAGCATATTCATGGTTATTGTATACAATAGCAAAAGAATTATATATCTATATATATGATACGACTTTTGTACAAAGTCTCCCCCCTCTGGTAGTTCTTTTAGATAAAAAAGAAATTTCGAAATTCGTTTAAAAACTGATAGAGTAATAAACATAAAAAATATAACCGAACTGAGAATCTCCTTTTTTTTTTTAAATTTGGTTGAAAATATTAGCAAAGTTATTTTTAAGTTACTTATGTGTATCCTGGGAGGTGAGATGTGCAATATAAATATGAAATTAAAAAATACATTTGCAACTTACAGAGGTAATATTATTATAAAATTTCGAGTTGTCAGCTGTTAACATGTTATTTTTTATTATATTCCTCTGTATTATTATATTACAATGTACTTTTTGATTATTATAAAACGTCATAACAACAACAAAAACGATTAATGTCATAAATGTTGGACAAAAAGTTTGTAATAAAACATATGGAACTTTATCAGATGATTTATTCAACTACAACAAAAAGCATAACTTTTTATAACTAAATCAGTCTAAAAATATTCTCCTGGAATATAGCTACCTGTGGATTAATATTCCATCTAAAAAGGATAAAAACTATACTACTTACATTTCGTGCATTAAACTAAATTACTTTGTTGCGCCTTGTATAGGATTTTGTACACTTATATTTCTTTTTTTTTTATTTTAATGCATCGAATTGAATGTACTTTTAATTATATTTTGTAATGACCTTTATTTTCTTATTAAAATGATGTTATAAGTGTACAAACAAAAAATACGCGGCGTTCAGTAATTGCCAGTAAAATATAAACAGAAAAATATACAATAATTTTCTCATGTAAAAAGAAACATAACCAATATTCCAAAGATTTGAGATGACATGATTAAAAGTTGATGTAAAATTTTCTGGAAGACATCACTTAGCTTCAAGCGCGAAGCTATTATATAAAAACGAATAAAATCAAAAGACGGTATAACATTATATTACATTAACAACAATCAACAATTACATTAGTTGTAAAAGCTATCATGCACATTAACTTGAATACTGGTTCAATAACAATCAATGGTTTTAGTACAATAATCAAAGTATGGAACAAAGTTTAATATTCGAAAAAAAAAAAACTGAATGAAAATAATTGGCAATAATAATAAATAATAATTTAATTTTTCATTGTTCATCTATTTCTGAATATTGTTTAGTTTTCACAAAATGACATTTTTAGTTTCTTTTCAGTGGAGATATCATTATGACAATGAAGTAAATTATTTTCAGATTGCATTGACAAATTTTAAAATATTATGACTTTATTCAATGTAAACTATATCAGACAAAATAATTATAAGTTCATGGTAAGCAATATAGACTAGATCTACTCTGTGTTCACTGTTACTGCAAATCAAATTTGTGCGAGCACGCTCACGGGGTGACAATCAAATTTCTCTACCATACATTCCAATCTCGGCACCATGTCTTACAGTCCGCGTATCTCACACATTCGCTACGGAAAGCGGCGTACGAAGTTAAATTCGAACGAGCAATTCGTTCAGATATTTTAGGCAAATTAGAAATTCACTAACTTATTTTAGGCACATTAGAAATTATATTAGCAACCTTCATCGAAAACTCGTGAAACTACAAATATTTCTACTCGTGTTCAATTGTTGATTGACGAGCAATATAATTTGATTAATATTGATTTCTACATTGTCGCTACTATTGCTGTGTGGTTGCGTTAGGCACTTGGACATTATTGTGCTGTATATACAAACAAGTGCATATATTTATTATCTGACTTGCTATGGACAAATTTTATATATACATATGCTTTAAACCATTATAATACTTGTATTGTAAAATAATATTTGATATCTAACAGTTCGACAATGTGCGAAAATGACAATTGTAAGAATTAATTTAAAATTTAAATAACATACATATTGCTCTTAATCTAATGGCTTTTAATCAATCTGTATGATGTTTGGTATTCTTTGGTTTCTTTCCATTGAAGTAATATATTCAAAAAATCAACAAAAACTACATAAAACATTTATAAACACAACAATCTTAAAGAATATTGGTTTGCAGTAATATTTTTATGCATAACGGAACTTGAGCGTTTGGAAAATTCACTTATGACATACCTACTGAGATCCACAATCAACTGCAGGTTACTAATATTTTTTACATCATTAACTTCATTAATTTCAATAGTAAATGTACTTTATTTAATTTAAAAACTATGTGATGTATTGTTTGTGATGTACTAGTAAAATAATCTATCATGGCATGATGGAAGCATTCACAATTTACAAAGGTTAGCCGTAACAGATGTATCAACCTGACACAATGTAAGGATCATCTACTATTTTTTTAGGAAATAATAATTACTATTATGATAAGATATTTATCACCATATAAAATTTTATTATAATGTTTGAAACATAACCAATATTTCCATATAGCATATAACATATATGGAAAAGTGAAAAAATATATTTAAATAAAATAATATGTAATTGAATTACGAAGGGGTTTCTGTTTTTCTGTTATAAATTAATATCGGGTCAATCATTAAAATTGAATGCCTTTTACTACAATTAACAAAAATTCAAGTTTGTTTACTCAATGGAATTGTTTATGTCATATTTTATAGTGATCTCAGTGCACCGGTTGGGTGGTTTTACAGTTTAGGATGTATGAATAGATGACATGTGATTTTTTATGTAATTATAATATAATATAGGCATTCTTGCTTATATTATAAATATAAAAATAAGAGTGATAGCAATATACGAATTACTACATCATTATATCAAAATTTCGAAACAACAAAAAATATTATTTAGGAGCACTTCAAAGAAAAAAATTTTGCGTTATTCTTCTAGTATGGAAGCTATTAATCAGTTATATCACCGCATGAATTCATCGTCAACGTCAATATTTATTAGTATTAATAAAAATAGTAATATGTGTAATAAAAAAACACAAAACTTCCTAAAATCCAATCTATTTAGTCGGGTTTTATCAATCTCTCAAGACCTTCGAGTAAACTTTGAGTTTTGGTTATAAGAATTTTCTCACATGTATTTTAATTTGTTTAAATTTTTGTTTGTAAAGAAAAAAAAAACAAAACCATAAACTGCAAGGTATTTTTACATGTTTCAGTTGTCTGGTACGCAGCACTGGATGCCCGATAACAGGAATGTGTGTAAAAGTACTAATTACATATATAAATAAATCACAAAATGTTATCTAACATGACAATATAATGAGAAATTCATATATTAACCATTACAATTTAATTCGTTTAAAAGAGAAAAATATACTTCCCCTTCGCCATATTATTATATTTTTTTTTATCAAATGATTTGATGTGAATTGTAATGTGATTTGTGTGTGTAATGAGCTTTACTATTAACCTGATTTATATGGATTCCTCCACTGAGGTCTTGTGATGTACTTAGCATATCTTTATCTACACTTTTTAAAATTTAAATCAATAGAAATGTGACATCAATAGTACATTTAAGTATAAAAATTTCTAATAAATTCATATTAATTTCATATATATAAAGGCGATAAAAAGAGTATAAAATCTAGTAAACTTCAGATGATTGTGACTTACGCTACCGTAAACTCTGGCGTTCCCGTTCTTTGGCCTTTGTGTGGGACTCACAGAGAGTTAGTGATGTTCTGGAACAATCTTTTGCCCCACCACGTTTCGAGGTCAAAGGGTTGGAAGTCACGGAGTACAGGGCTCGGTGTGTCATCATGATAGTAAAGATTCGAAGGTGGTGACGGTGATGAGCTTCCTGATCCTGTAATGAGAATAAGTAAACTCTTATTTGTAAAGATTTTTTAAAGAACAGTTATGATATATAAATTTCAAGTATAACATGAATATATAATAAATATGTATATATTTTACTAAATATAAAATCTGTTTCTGTAGATAAAAAGATAATTAATCTTTAAGAAACAGATTTTTGAATTTGAATAAAGACAGTGAAAAACAAACATACATACTATAAGAAGATTAGTTAGAAACTTAGAAACGATCTATAATATTACTGTCACACTATTAAAACAACTAAATCATCATTATCATCTTTCTACCTTTATTCCAAATATTATTTGTGGTCAGCGTTTTGTATGTTTTTTATCCATATTACAAAATGATTTGGCTTATGGTTTTAAGACCGGCCTCTTGCCTGACGTCAACCCTCTTTGGAAATGAATTTGTTGGTGGTATCAGCCACCTATGGAATAGAGGTAAGGATTGAGGTAAAAGAAAGGAAACGTTAAAAATGTGTAGAGGAAATTGGTAAATAAGAGGAATAAGGGACTCATGTGGTAAAAGATGAAGGGGGGGGGGGGAGACGCTGCCGTTACGGACAGGACTGGGGCACTACAGCGGCTCAGGAGGCCGGGGTTTTCGTTTCGGTATTCATTAGGATGGAGTAGAACATGTTGCTTCAAAACTTTTTTCATCATAAGATCTCAAAACTAGAAACTTTGAGCTTTAAAATCCTTTTTTTAATATTCCAATACGACAATTTTTAAAAGAAATACTACTTGAAAAGCCTAAAAAATTTGGCATTTTTTTTATCCCTTAATTTTTTCCTCTAACCTAGTTGCTTTAAATAACAAATATACTATTGTCATTATAATATATACTGGTAATGCAGACAAACTCGTGGACACAACTAGTAATATGAAATAAAATTTGTAATAACTAGTTAGAAGTTTGTGTTATAAGTATATAAATAAAATATAATCGAAAATCAGTTTTCTTGATTAAGAACAGAGAGTATATATTTAATTGAAAGAAATTGATATAAGTGGTTATACAATAATAATGAGGTATAAAACAGAAAATTATGTTGTATTCGAATGACTACTATTTCGTATAATAGAACAATGTCAATTAGAAATATTTGTAACTGTAAACTAAAAGGTAGTTATGTGACTAACGCGCAACATAATATACTTCGAACTCGCCCATTAGCAAGGAATGCGATACAAAAGTATTGTGTGTCACAAACATGACAATTGGACAGTGACTTTGAATTTATGTATATTACCCACAAACTCTTTCACTGCGAGATGACCCAACAAGAATATAGTGTCACCTTTTTGTGAATAATACGGGAAAGAAATCACAATATACACTCGAAAAAAATAAAAAACTTTAAATAAGACCTTACAAGTTGCAAAGTAAATTGCAAGTGTGTATCAAGAATTTGCACACTATTACTATATAAATAATGATATGATATGCAATATAAATTATGTAATTCTATAGTTATGATTGATAAGATAAAAAATATACCACGATACTTATGTTAAATTGATAAATTCGCTTCACATTGTTATGAAATATGTACCTAATCAAGTTTAAAGGAATACCTACAATAATTTATCTCGGCTTTTAATTTTTATGTACTAGCTGTATCCGGATTGGATGGAATTTATATAATTTTACAAACACATTTTAATAGAATCAGTATTTGGAAATAAAAAATCAGACTTTTTATCTTCATTCATATATCATCTTCATATATTATATTCATATATTATCTTCATTCTTATAGTTGCATGATTTTAGGTATCCTTTCAAATAAGTATATAGATGTTGATTTATATGTATGATTAAATTACTAAATAGTAAGGTTATAAAAAATTAATAATTAGATGTATATTTATGAAAAATAATAATATACATACCATTACTAGTAGGAGTTGTGGGTTCGCTATCACCATAAGCTGTCTGTGTCCAAGCTGAAATAAAAAGATTGAAGCTGGATTCAAATATCAGCAAAACATGGATTAACTGAATGATATATTTACCAAAATGGCAATTGTTAACAATATAATATTAATGTTTGTTTAAATTTAATATAATTTAAATGTTTGTGTATAAATGTAGAATCTGTTTTCTTTTAATAATATATGTATTGGATCAAGTTGTTAGAAGGTATTTTCAACCAACTTAAAGAAATGATGAAATGTCAATTTGGTTGTTTTTGTTTTGTGTGTTACCTCATAACTGTGACAATTGTAAACCATATTTAGTTTTTTTTTAATCCTAAAGGATATGTTAATAGATTAGTCCCATAGAAATCTTATCAAAATCAGTTGAGTAGTTTAGTTTTTAAATCAAAATATTCGGTTTTTTTAGTAGAACTTAATTTAATTATTGAACTTATTAATAATTCAGGATTTCTAAATGTAGTGTTATTTAATAAAATATTTTCCAACTAGTTTTTGCCTGCTACTTCCTATGATTGGATCAACATAAAACATATACCAGTTTTTAAGTCACACCTTCAAAAACATAACTGTGAAAAGTGTATATATATTAGTAATATTTAATTATTGTTCACAATCTTCACCAGGATCTAGCATACAAAATTCATTTAATTGTGCTATGAATTAATAATACATTATACAAATTACAAACAATTCAGTCAATTAATTGAGTCACAATCTATTTGGATTTTAAAATGATTTATATTAGACGCAATTCATAACAACATTCTGTTCAGACTAGTTTGGTATGCCACATTATTTCTGTAAGTACTTTCAATTTTATTTTCTAATATGATATGGTAAACAAAAGAGCATATTTTATCACCTCTGCTATGCATATACAATTTAATTGGTGTATGAAAGAGTTAGAAATTAAGTATAAATTTATCAAACCTGAAGTAACTTTCACATAAGTACTTTTACATACTAGTCTAAATAAAGGAATTGTATTAATTGAAGAAATACCAACATTTTTATAATTGATTTTAGGATAGAGGAAAGTAAGGACAATATTAAAATAACATAAATTTCCCTAATATCTAAAAATTTGACAAAACATAAGAAATTATTTTGATACCTAGAAGTGATTAAAGTTCATTTATTAAAGCATAACTGTTTAAGCATTATATAGTCAAATAACCAATAGCTTCTAAAAAAACTTTGATAAAAATAATATTGAAAAATGTAGGTACTCACTTTCACTTATATATCTAATAATTTCTTCGTGTTGTGGTGTTATCACATGATGCTGTATTCTTTGATGAACAGTTTTTTTGCCGTTGGAATGGAATACTGGTTTAGGCATGCTGAAATAAAAATTTTACTGGTTAGCTTGAGCCATTTTAATGATTTTTAAATCATTGTTATGTATTTGATCTCTTATCAAATATTGAACACAGCTCAAAGACTAACTTTACAACATAAAAATAAGTTATAAGATGAACATTGCTAAAACGTGTATTAATAAAAACAAATTAGTACCCCCGGTGCTAAGAGGTTATGTAAAAAACATTGGCCAAATAACTCTTCCAATTGCATCATGTCAATGTAATACGTACTTAATAATTTCGCCATTGTCGGACTCTGATGACTTTCTATTATTATCCTTTCGACTGTCTAGTCTTTCTAAATTTTGTGAGAGGCCTGCAAATGGAAAATGTTCAAAATTATAGTCTCAAATTTTAGAATAATTCTTGTAACTCAAATCGATTTAGAATACAAAATCACCTCTTCGGGTTTTGGCGAAAATTTTATTGGGTCCCTTTGAGACAGCATACATTTTAAAATTTCGCACAGAAACTAAAAAAATAAACGTAAAAGTCACACACGAATTATGAGATCAAATCAAATCAACCTGACTGAAGTCCTGAAACTATTAGTTGCCAGTTTACAATATTAAACTAAAATTATAACGATGTCAACGTTTCTTTCGCTCTGATTAATATTTGTATTATTTTATTTAATACAGCTAAACATAATATACACTATAACAACAAATTAAATACTAAGTAATTGTAAGTACACTCTGTTATAGTAATTGCAAATAAATTATAAATAACTAGAAAGCATTAAAAAAATTTAATTTATCTATGACAACACAAGGTATGTCGCGATTGAACGTTCCAAACTGCACAGAATTCAAATATCTAAGTACAACAGTACTTTATTTAAAAGTTATCTATTATCAACTACATACCTAAGTTTAAAAATATTTCGAATATTTTTCTCAAAAATTATAAAAATTATTTTGATTTAAATGTGGATAAGCTAACTTGAAGTCAAGGGTGAATAGGACATGATGCGTGGTTTATATAAATAAATAATGTGATAACATAATCAAAGAAATATCGAATGTGAGGATGGAGTATTATTATTATCTATTCATGTGATATGCTGAATGTTTTTAACGGTTTATTCTCGCTGTTGGTGCCGCTCTGTAGTTAAATTAGATAAACAAACTGAACAAACTGCCCGTATTCACATTATCAACCATGGAAAGTGGTAATCGTCTCATCTATATGCGGTAGGTACTTATCACTTTCCATTGTAGGCTTTCCACGTTGTTATAACTATATATCCATAACAATGATCTATTACTACACAATAAAATAATCGCAGACTATAGTGAATTACTGATACGCTCATGACGTTATTACTTCATAATGACTCTTTTTTGATGTTTTGACACGTTGGTTAAGAATTATCCGACATGGTGTGTTATTTAAGGAGATTATTGGATCCATCGCTAAAAATATATCCTTTCAAATAAACTTCCATGTGATACCCCTGGAAACCATCGTGGATAATTCCAACTGAATACATCACAGTGGGCCAATTGACTTCATTTTCATGGATCATCCCTCACTGGTGCCAGCGAAAATGAACAGGGTAGGGAGCTACCGCGGGAGGAGTTACCGTTATTTAGCTATGGAGTTTTTTTTTTTTAAAAAAGTACTTATTTTAAATTTTATTAACTCGGAAAATTAAATTACATTTATCAATCAAATGATTAAAGGATTATTTTATTGATTTAACCTATCTAGTATCAGCCTGCTATAAATAGGTGTTACACGCTATGTGAACACTTTCCTTATTGTTTCCGATTGATTTCTAATATATTTTGATAGATGGAAATCTATGTAGGCACGTATCGAGGAAATACATAAGTAGTAGCCTAAGAACGTAGTAGGTACTTATTTGACATAAGAATGTGTATGTTTAAAAAATCAAACTTTATTTAGAATTAGCAAAAATATCGCGTAGAATCATATCGGCTTTACAACAAAAAATTTAAAACACTGTTGGTCTAAACAATGTTAAACAAAACTCTGTTTAAGGGATTAAACATAGGGGTAAATTTTGATAGCGATTCTGTAAACCTATCTCACAAAACAAATGTTTTAATTCGGTAAGTTTACGAAAGTACTATCTTGTGGGTTATCTTAAACTAAGTTTATAATAAATTTTGACTTAAATCAATTTAGGTATTTATAAATAATAACGCCTCAGAATTGACCTAATTATTTAGTTGATGAAATAACATAAAATTGGACTTTTATATGCAAAAATATCTACATTATTAGAATAAAACTGTTGATTAGCCCTGGTTTCGCACAGTTTTTTAAAATACTCTATAGCTTATTTGATGGTAATGTAACTTTCTATGGGTGTAAGAATTAAATATTGGTTAAATATTTTTTAATTGTATACATTAAAAATAAAAAACAATATGTTTTCTTTTTATGTTATTACTTTTGGATTTACTACTTAAAATACATTCTATTTATAAAAAGATAGACTTTCTTTTGTTTAGACATGAAAGTTAGTCTTTAGTTAGACATTTGTAATAAGACGTTTGAGCATGTATTCAACATCAGTCTATCAAAAGTTTACGAAAGTTTGAAAGTACACATAGTTACAGAATAAATTTTCCATTTTAGATCAAATGTTAGTACTTATAAGTAATAGAATCGTGACCCTCACAGTAATGATTTAGCTGGTATCTGCACATATGTATATATGCGATATTTACATGTTACGATTCGTAACAGTCGAATGCCGATGCAAATATTCAGGACTTTCGCTTTAACGCCAACTTTCACTAACCGATTGTTTGAATGAACAATTACCTACATACGGTACGATAAAAAAGCCATTATTTGCGGTAACGGAACGCATACCTACTGCGATTTGTTCTAGTTAATGTTTTTAAGCTGATAAACTAGTGTTTTTATTTATGGTTGCCTACTGTTTACATTAAGATTATCTACCTAATTGTTAAACTACAGCGTACCATTGTACCTTGTTATTTCACAAATAGGTCACAAGATTCGTGTGATAACGTGAGGACGGAAACGTGCCATAGATGCTAGTAATGTAGCGTGTTTGTGGGTTGTGATTTCAGTTTACTGTGTGCCATCCTAGTTTAAAACGTATATTAATTTCTGTGTCAAGAGTTTGAGCTGCCTTCATATACATAGAGCCTATAACGTGCTTACTAAACGAAGGCTTTATCTATATAAGTAGAATTAAAATAAGTAATGGAGTAATGGTAGAAGGAGAGGTTTTTTTTATGGGTGTTAATGAAATTGTGACCCCACCCGCGCTATCGGTATACACTGGCGGGGCACTAGTGAAGTAGGAATAGGTGAGGATGAAGCAGGTCAGTTAGCCCATAGTGACGAATTCAACAAGAATTATTCACGATGGTTTCCAGAGGGAACCACATGGAGGTCGACCTGATATAGCATATTGCTAGTAATGGGGCTGTCAAACTCCATTGCTAACAATCCCTTTCCCCCCAGAAGGAGAGGTTGTAAATAATGTAAATGCCTTATTGTTATTTTAGAAGAATGTTAATAGCAACATAATTAACACAATATCAATTTAAAAATTATCTTAAAGTAATCTTTGCCAAACAATAATTAGATGAAGAAAAATAATTTCGTAGTTTGGTAGGATTTACATCTAATATTTAACTATCTATTGACAAAAATAATATTATAAATGTTTTTTTTTTTTTTGGAAAGGAATTAGTGCTGTAGTAAATAGATATAATAAGGTTGACTGGAAGAGATTGCTTAGCGGTAAGGCCGCCTTTTGTACCACTTCTCATTAATAATTACTGTATTTATGATTTGTTTTACTTGGTGCAATAAAGTGTAAAATAAATAAATAGTTTCTATGAGATTAGTTTAACAACTTTGTTTTTTTTTTATAATTTTTTATAAATTATAACAATTATACTTTGCGTCTTCTATCACTAAGTATATGATGTGTCCGTAGTGATTAAGATTATTATTAACTAAGAAATTCTACTCCTGTGTGAGCAATGCCGTAGGAAACCGCTAGTTTTGCATATGACAAATAACTATAAAGATAACTTAAGTGGATGAAATCAATTGGATCATTATGCCGTCTGTGAATGCAATTGAGTGTGTTGTAAGAGAAATTTCATATCTTATTCTTGGCAAACTAGTACACAGGATGGTGAAATATTATACAAAAGTATACATACACCTATATATGTATGTTAAATAAAGAATTTTTGATAGATGATAATGGAATGGCAACTTGACCTGCACTAACGATATATGCTGGCGGATTACCAACATTGAAGAATAAAACAATGAGGAAGAAGTCAGGTCAATTAGCGCCTCGTAACAATTTCACTACGAATGTTTCCAATAGGGACCGCGTGGAGGTTGAACTGGTAGGGCTTATTGTTAACAATGGGGATGAGACTCCTTATTACTAACAGTCCCTTTTCTCTCGGCCAAAGAAACTACTCGAGAATAGAAACAATCAGAGACTGATGGCGCAAAGGAAAATCTCAAGGTTCCAAACTATACTCCTTTCGATGGTGGAGAAGATCTCATTGTACCTACAGCTAATGTCTATGAGCTACGGATACATCAATGTGATTATCATCACCATCTTTAGATTACAGGACTCAACTGCCGGATATAGGTCTTTTCCAGGGTCCACTCTTTATGCATTATGCTCATTTGCAGCTAAACGAATTCGATGATATTATAATGGTATTTTAGAAAACATAGTACCTAATTAGATTTATGTGCAAGACTTAAGTCTTAGATAAATAACTCTATCATTATGAGGGAAAAGGGATTGTTAGTAATGGGGTCTAATAGCCCTATTGCTAGCAATATACCCTCTCAGGTCGACCTCCAAGCGGTTCCCCCTGGAAACCATCATGTTTAATTCTTGTCGAATTCATCATGGTGGGCCAATTGATCTGCATTTATTTTCACCTATCATCTTCCACTGGTGCCTCCTCGGTGTATACTGATAGCACGGGCGGGGTTACCATTTCATTTTCACCCATTAAAAAAAACTTTATTATTATATCAGCCGACAACTGCACACTGCCTCCCCCCAGGAGGTGCCAGTAATTGCCACATTAGGCAGGTGTTTTGGTGTACTTCTCGAACTTCCATTTTTTACTTAATAAAACTTCTGTAACACCAGCAATATATTTATTTTTATTCTCTTCATGTACTTACAACTCAAAGACTCTTTCCTCTAGTACATTTTGACAATCATCGACAAGATTCTTACCACAGATAATACAACATCCATAAATAGCAGGTGGTTGACTTGGTGATGTTTTAAGAGGGACGCTGCTGCCCATGCAGATAAACAACTCTATAGTCTGACCTTTATAGTTGAGACCGTGACTGACTGACTACGTGTTAGACTATTCAGGTTGTTTCCTCCAGTAACTGTGATTATTATAATAGACGTAAAATGTTTCTGGAATATTATATAAGTACTTATGTAAGTATAGCGGTACATTATAACAAACAATGGCGTTTCAAATTATGCTCCCACGGTTATGCAGTTAACGGGATTGACGCAACGGTCCGGATTAGACTATGGCAGTTTAGCGAAACACCATAGTCTTGCATATTTATATATTGTATATTTTTAAATATATTATGTTATATAATATGTATAACAGAGAAACCTGAAACGATTTGCTTAGAATAAAAATTCCGATCATATACCGATAAGTCATACAAATTAGCGTAGTTAATTTTAAACTTTCGCGTTGTTTACACATATTTTAAATACACAATCTGGACTTGATGCGATGAAAAAACCTTTGCAGGTAAATAATACCTACATACCTGCTTCTTTATTGCCGATGTTTCAACGTGGATTGTACCACGACGTGCCAGCGACAATGTGAGGGTAACCAAAGAGACTTTTTTAGCATGATAATGGAATGGTGCCCCACCTGCGCTATCGGTATACACTGGCGGGGCACCAGTGAGGGATGAGAGATGAGGATGAAGACAGGTCAGTTGGCCCATCGTGATGAATTCAACGATAAATTTGTCACGATAGTTTCCCAGGGGAACCGCATGGAGGTCGATCTTATAGGGTATATTGATAGCAATGGAGACTAACCTCCCCATTATTAACAATGCCTTCCCCCACCCGAAGAGACTGCGCGAGCTGCCAGACGAAGACGCTGCTCACTGCAGTCCTGTTGTGACCACGACGTCAATCCACGTTGAAACGTCGGCAACAAAGAAGCAGGTATGTAGGTACTATTTACCTGCAAAGGTTTTTTCATCGCGTCAAGTTCCGATTGTGTATTTTAAAATAAGTTAGCGTAAATGTTATCTAGATTCGATTCTCTTTGAGTAATTATACCTATTTCCCAAAATATGTTAAATAACATGGATTATGTCAGTTGTATTAGATAAAGTGATATAATCTAATAGTCTTCCTATTAGATTTTTTAAATAAAATTAATAAAATCTCAATCGAAAACTCTATTTCAAACCAATAAAAGCTATTTATTATTATGTAACAGATATGCTAGCTAGCTTTATTGTTAATACCTACCCACACTACAATGTGGCAAAAACATTGAATCGTGTTTTACAATTAGGTATTAAGATGACAACAATGAAATGAATATGTCGTTTACTTAAGGTAGTAGGTATACGAGGTCTGTCCGGAAAGTATATATATAAAAGTGTTCTGGAATGCGAGAAAAATAGGAGTGGGGAGGCCAGGTAAGCGCAGGACCCCTTCCTTATGTCCCTAACAATGCTTCAGTTCTGGTCTGACCGCCGTGCGGTGCGAACTGGCTTGTCACGCCATCTGTGAAGTTAACTCTTAAAGAAACACCGTCGGATTTTAGCCCGCTTCCGTTGAAGATCAGCGCGTCGTAATCAAGTTTCTCTCGAAACTCGGCAAGAATGGCCGTGAAATTTTTGCCGATCTCAGAACAGTTTATGGGGATGATGCTGTGAAGGAACCAACCGTCCACAAGTGGCTAAAAAGATTCAGAGAGGGCCGAGAAAGGAGTTCAAGATGACCCACGTTCAGGACGTCCTTCCACTTCACATTCCGACGAAAACGTGGAAAGAATTCGAACTTGTGTTAATGGGGACCGTCGTTTAACGGTCAGACAGGTGGCTGAAGAGCTTAATTTGGGCAAAACCGTGGTCCACGAAATTCTAAGAAACGAACTTCAAATGAAAAAAATTTGCGCCAAGATCGTTCCGTGAGTTTTTGAGTAAAAATTCCATTACGGTGACCGAACACCCCCTATTCGCCGGATTTGGCCCCGTGTGACTTCTTCTTGTTCCCAAAAACCAAATTGGTACTTCGGGGGCGGCATTTGGGGGACATAAATGAGATAAAAAAAGCTACGACGGGGCAGCTGAGAAACCTACAACCAGAGGACTTTCAAGGAGCCTTCTCACAGTGGAAACGGCGTTGGCACAAGTGCATTATGTCACAGGGGGAGTACTTTGAAGGGGATAAAATTGATTTACCTGAATAATTGTAAAATAAAATTTTTAAAAAACTTTTATACGTACTTTCCGGACAAACCTCGTATAATCGCAAATGATGACTGTCTTATTACAAGTCTTGCTGTCAGAGTTAGGTTATGTGCCTAATTGATTAAAAAGTCAATATACCAGAGAGACTTACAAAAGTGGTCTGCTTGAGTACTTCTGTCCCATTCGTGTCTCTGTCGTAAAGTAGTTGTTTGCTTGGTTTGAAGTAAATTTACGAGTTCAGAAGTATAACATCTTAATCCTTAGGGATAGCAAAGCATGGGAAGCATCATGGGTGAAACAGTATAGTCTATTATGCCCATTACAGATGGGCAAAGCACCGGGTTTAAACCCGGTGCTTTGGTAAAAACCCAATAAACACCCATAAACTCCCATAATCACCCAAAAAAATAGGTTTTTACGTATTTTTTTGAAAATATGTAAGTAATACCAATAAATTATTTTTATAAATTGTATTGATCAATTCTACAATATTAAATAAAACGTTAACTAATAATATTTCAGGAAATTTTAAAAATCTATATATAATAAAATGAAAGTAATTAATTTTCAGTGTTTTCATGTTGCAGTTGATCAACATGTTGGCCTTTTGCTTCCCGTAGATACTTTAAAATTTCTTCATAACACCTCGTTCGCACAACACATGGCCGTATATATTTAAATTCTTGAGCCACTAACAGTCCGAAATACTCATTTCTTTTATCCTCTTCTCCATAAATTAAGCATTTAGAACAGTTTGTTTCTTCTTTCAGTAAATTTTCTTTTACTTTATCCTCGTTTTTATTCTTTGTTGCGACGACGCTGGGTAAATCATCTGGACACTGGGTCTCACTATCGCCAAATATATTTGGAGATCGGCTTCGGCTACGGCTTGGCAGACATTTTTTTCTTTCTACAATTTTAAATTAAATTTATTAGAATAAATGCTTCGAACACACGCGATCTAAGTACCTTTTGTGTTTATTATACCTTACCTACCTAGGTATAAAAAGAGTACTTACGTAGATTTTCTTTTATTAACTGTTTTATACGAAGATCTTGATCTCTCAAATTAGCATCCATTTTACTTCCAGTGATTATCAACTAAATTAATAATCCACAAAGTATTAAATAACGTTTTTATGAAATATTTAGCACAAAAACAATACCCTTTAAATATCGATCGTCAGTAACTGTGGCTGACTTACCTATATTCTAGCAAGCAGGACTGCCAGATGTGAAGGGGAAATCCCCAATAAATTGTTGCATGTGACTGATGATGTGAGCATGTTCGTTTCATAATAAAAATGTTGCCAGGTAACCAAAAAGTCGTATGTTTTTGTGCGAATTACGATCATAATCTTTATGATCGTACATTAAAAAATAGACAAATAATAGTATGAGTACGATTTAAATCGTATATCTGTCAACCCTGCTAGCAAGACAGCGACAAAATCACGTTGCATAACAATGTAGCCCAAGCTTATATCTTATGAAATATACGGAAGAGATACGGACTTAGAAAAAACAGAAATGTTGTTCTTTGTGGAAGTCATTGATGAAATTCTATGTATTTTAGCCCGCAAACTTTCTTCAAACAAAAACAGCGCCATCTAGTATCGAGTTCTGTAATTATCTCTTTGTTTATGGATTTGAAGTAAGACCGCCACGCATGCAATACATTATGACTGGGGATTCCCCTATTCGTCGACGCTGAATATGAGGCGACGACAATCACTGTCAAACGTGTTCACTATTACTCTGACTCTGGTAACGTGACTTCCTGGTAACGTGTTAGGTAGGAAAAGCAGTAAAAAAGTGCATATTAAGGGAGCAGATTTGAAATAATATTTATACTTAACAAGAAATAATTAAAGGTAAGTGGATTTTTGAATGATACAATTATATCATGATCACTTAACAATTTTAACTTAAAATTAGATGTATTATTACAAGCTTTTATTTAGCTTGCGTTATGTAAATAAAAGTATGTAGGTATGTTCGTATGTTGATGCAATTATCCTCAATCCTCAACCGACTGGGATAAAATTTTCCATACACGTTTATTTTGGATGATAGTGCATAGTTAGCTGAGAGTCGTCATTGGATAATAATGGTGGATAGCCTAAGATGTGTACTAGATATTTATTTTTAACATAATATGCGTAAGTACCTAATCGAATTAAAGAAGTTGCTGAGAAAAATACAGAACAATACGATAATAAACTAGCGTCTGCGTTTAATCCTCCGAGGAGATGTAATTTTACAAAGGTTTTTTGTATTTATTTTATTATTTTTTTAATAAATTTATTGTAAATAACAAGAAATAATCATTGTAAAAAAATAGGCACTCTATTGTTGAATTTTCGTCAGACCAACTAATCATCGTTCATTTTTTTAGGTTCAATGGGGAGACCTAAAGATTTACGCATATGGGAGCACTACCGTACTTTACCAAACAAGTCTGTTTCTTGCAAGCTTTGTAATAAGGTCTACAAATTCAGTAATGCTGCCAAAATGCTTCAACATCTTATCACTTGTCCAAAATCTCCAGAAACATTAAAAGACTCTATGAAACTTATAAAAGATAGCTCGTCCAAAACCAAAATGTCTGGACTGTCAGAGATAGAGACAAATGATTCTTTTATAAGCCCCTCGTCGTCTGCTAACACTACAATAAATGCTGAGTTTCAAGACACCGATGATCATATAAAAACAGAATTAGCGAGAGCTATATTTGTAACAGGGACGCCATTATCGATGGTGCAACATCCTTTATGGATACAATTTTTCGAAAAATTGCAACCAAAATTTAAAATACCTTCACGTAAAGCTTTAGCGACAAAATACTTAGATAAAATATATAGAGAAATGCGTTTTGAGTTAAATGAGGAACTAAATGCTTGTAGTTACTTACACCTTCAGTGCGATGGCTGGTCTAATTTAAGAAATGAAGGAATAATAAACTTTCTTATATCAAAACCTCAACCTGCATACGTTAAAAGTTTGAATACAGAAAGTAATCCTCACACTAGTGAATACCTTAGCCAAGAAGTTGAAAAAGTAATGAAAGTGTATGGAGCAAATAAGTTTCTTGTACTTATTGGCGATAACGCTAGAAATATACAAAAGGCATTCGAATTAACAAAACTCAAATATCCACATGTTGTTCCTCTCGGTTGCTGTGCACATATCCTTAACTTGTTGTGCCAAGATATTGTAAAGATACAAGAAGTAACTGTGTTTATTATGCAAGCCATAAATATAATAAAAACTGTTAAAAGGAGTCAACGATTAAGTTCCTTGTTGATAAAATCAAGGCAGGGTGAAGATTCTACACAAACACTAAAATTGCCTTGTGCTACAAGATGGGGAAGTCATGTTACTTCGTTAAAAAGTTTGAAAGCAAATAAGATAGCTTTGCAAATATTAACAGTTAGAGAAGATGTGGTAATTTCAAGAGATATTAAAGATTTAATTCTAAGTGATGATTTCTGGACGAAGACAGGGGAATGTATAAGTATTTTGGAACCAGTCACTGAAAGCATATTTTACTTAGAGAGCGACCAGAATCGTTTGCATCGCACATACATTACATTTAGAGATGTACAAGCTAAGATACGTTTTGCATTAAATGAGATTTCGACATTGAGCGAAGAAAGCAAACAGCAGATTCTAACATCAGTATCTTCAAGATGCAATATGGCAATGAGGCCAATACATTTTGCAGCATATATTCTAGACCCCAGGACTCTAGGAGTCGAACTTACTCAAGAGGAAGAACTTAAGGGTATGGAGTTTATCTACAATTTAAGCCAACACTTAAGTTTGTCAAATGTAATGGCAGATTTGGCGTGTTATAAAGCTAAAGAAAACTTTTGGGCCAGAGGATTTGTATGGAGCTCATTAGATAGCATTGAGCCCCTAATATGGTGGAAAGGTATTTGTGGTTCCACTGAGTTAAGCAAAGTAGCGATTCGTATTCTATCAGCTCCCTGTACTTCGGCAGCCACTGAGCGTTCCTTTAGTATCCAAGGCTACATACATAATAACAAAAGAAATCGACTTACAACTGAAAGAACTGAAAAAATTTCATTCATTTGTTATAACTGGAATCTTAAACATAAAGCTGAATGCGAGGACATTCAGTTTAATGAAGAAAATACCTTAGAAGCTTTCATTGAGCAAGTAAATGAACATAACAGTTTAGACGAAATAGAGCCTATCGAACCTATACAATTCATCGCTTGTAATAACTCTGAATCTGACAGTGATTGACTGTAGTTTTACATTTTACTTTCATCTCTTTCTTAATAAACTCAAAATCAAATTAAAAGTTTTTTATTCTGTAGGCTGCATAATAATATTGTCTATGTCCAGTATAGTGGACGTCTTGCGGCTGAGATGACGATGATGAAGTACAAAATCATAAACACCCAAAAATTTGGGTGTTTATGGGGTTTAAACCCAATAAACCCAAAACACCCGGTTTTTACCCACCAGACTTTAAACCCACCCAGGTGGATTGCCCATCTCTACATGGTACTGCTCATGTCTATAGGTGACGGTTATCACTTTCCATCAGGTGGGCCGTCAGCTTGTTTGTCATTCTAAGTTGCATAAAAAAAATCATTATTCATTAACTCCTTATGTGTCATATTATATTTAGAACTTTAGTTAGATCTTGTAACTTGTTCAGTTTATAGAAGTGGACCTTGAAATCTCATAATTTTTTGATAGGACTATAATAAATTAGGTCTTATGTTACATCACATGAGTGATCGTAGTGTAATCCTACCTTATAAGTTTTATGTTGCGTTGTGGTGAATATAAATTTGCTACTTGCCAAATTACAGTTGATAGTAAATTTTGAACTTATTGTTGTTACCAACATAGGTATAATTTTATAAATAATTTCATAGTTATCATTATAGTAAAAAAGAACATTTGCATGCTATTAGGTACGAGTATATACGGGTAGTATGCTGGGTAGAAAACATAATGTAGAGTTTTTGGAACTATTTTTTATGGTTTTGTTTTAAGAATAGTTCTAAAAAAAACATGCTTCTTATTTCTTATAATGTTCTAATGATAAATATTTATGAATGTATAAATAAACTTGGAGTGGTGGTACATTGTATGACTATCCTTAACCACAATCACGTCACCACTTATAATTATTTTTTAATGCACAGTATTACTATAGTGCTTTAAATAATGGGTATACTATATTGTAAAGAGACCTACAACATTGTGAATAGAGGAATTTTAACACACTTCATTTTATGTATTTTAATCTGCGCACGCTATTGAGTTCCATCGAAAATAGTTCAACAATTGAGAAGTGACATTTATTATGAACTCTAGGAACTGTATAGTGTTCATTTTTAAAAATTGTTATGACATTTTTGGAGTGTGGCTAGATCGAGATGTCTGCGTCCTATTTGTTGAAGCTGAAGATTTTGGCGTCGTGTCGAGCGATTGACGTCATGGGAAGTGAAGGGCTATTCGTGTAATACCGACTATTAATAAAACGAACTACAAACACTGAGGTGGATAGTAATATGTTACAATAGGGCGAGATAGAATGTATTGTGATCGGTTCATATGAGTACATTACTCACATTTTTTATAATCTTATCAGTGTTATCGCTGAAAATGTTTATGCCACAGATCTTGTGAAATAAGAAAATCACAATATAGATATATTCAAACTATACAGTGTAAAATCGTTGCCAATAAGTTCGATTTTATAAGTTTAGTTTCACCAGTGAACTACACCTCAACGCTAAAAATCGAAATTATATGAATAGTTAACACCTAGAATACTCGTTCTACTTGTACAACGAAATAACTCTTTTATATTATTTTTAGCTAGTAAAATGATTTTAATAACTTAATAATAATTAATGTTTCCTACCCTGTTACAGTTAAAGCTGTTATAAGTACAATTTAAAAGCTTAAATTATGAGGCAGACATGCTGGGTCTGATAGGGAGTCCTGAGATGTCGTAGGTTAAGTACCGATCTAATTTAATAATTTTAATCTATATATCTAAATTTTAGAATAAAGTTCAAGGCGATAGAAAGGTAGCGAATGCTTTACTTACAACACTACAAGCAGTTAGCGGATCTCCCGCCAAAACATATGGCCGCACGAAATGCGCCGAACAAAGTATCAACTCAGTCGTCCAATCAGAGCGGTTCGCGCCCTACGTTCGCACGCGCGTATTTATTAAATTTCGATAATGATACGAGACTGGTGGCAGACGCTAAATTATAATAAAATTACTTAAAAATAATCGTATTAATAGGCAGGCCTATCAAAAGAGTACTAACCTTCGTATAGTGTGGACATGCTGTCTGTAAAGCGAAAAATAAAATATTAATATTCGACAAAGCAAAACAGTAAAACTGCGATACAGTCCGGTTTAGTTCCTTGGTCAGGTATTGAGTTAAAAAAGGAAGTAAAAAATCGTGCGTTCCAATAAAATCCAGTATGCAACACTTCACGGAACGACATTTTGAATGGTGAACGGTTAAATATTTTTATAGAAAATGTATTAGTGCGTGTTGAAAGTCCAAACTTTAAAACCCGTCAGTGGTTGTGATAAAGAGTGACACTTGTGTGCCAGAAAAGTGATCACAAATAACTTACAGCCATTCATAAAATACGATTGCCGAGGTAAGGGTTTGGATAGATTTCTTTATTGTATATAAAAATATATATATCACTGAATTTTTTTTTTTTTCAATTTTTAGTAAAAATACTATAAATTATGTATGTCTAAATTACCATTTTAAAAAGGAAAGATTTTATTTTTTGTTTGTAATGGATAAATTAAAAGATACTTAACTGATTTAAAAAAAATCATCTGAAGAAAGTTACATTGGAGTCAATTTTAAGGTGCAATTTCTCTAAACGTATCTTTAATATTTTAATATGGTAGTTTTCGATAATTACTGTTTTATAGACAATTATAAAGTATATTTATATTAATTGGTCCTTACAATTAGGATTTCAAGGTAAATTCAAATTAAAATTTTAGAGATAGGTATAGAGAAATGGTATCCGACGACCCCATTATCTGTGTTATGTCACTCGCTAATAATGGGGTCGTTTCTGAGGTCAACAAAAAAGTCGGGGAAGCCAGAGCGGTCGTTAATTTTTATTATTTATTAATTTTTGAAAATCTTAATTCGTGTTATAATTTTTTATAGGAAAGTTGACATTGCAAGTAATGTAAAATAGGTCGCATTGTATCCAAACAAATAACACCCACTTAAAACATCTATAAGCGATAATTCTGTCATTGCATGTTTTATTTATCTAATCATTAACCCAGCTATTTTGTTTATGCCTGATAAACAAAATTATTGAAAGTGAATATAGGCTATACGTACTTATAGGTATATCTCATTAAATATAAATTTGATTAATCGACTAATCATTATGGAATTTTGTTTACGTGCCTACACGTAGAATTTAGAATGTGGAAGAACATAAAGAAGTACACATTTTTCCAATATTATAAAGTGTTTTTGTAATATTGGAAAAATGATTAGTCTTTTAAAAAGGTATACCTATAAGAAAATTGTAACTACGTATATAGACGATCTTTGTACATAAGAGGTAAGTATTTAAAGAAATTAATACTTAATGAGCATTGATACTTCGTATAACAGCTATGGAAGCCAACACAATATTTTTTAGGGTGTTTATCTATATGTATGTTTATTTCAGTATCACGTAAAAACGACTATATCAAACTGAAGGTCGAATTTGAAATTTGGTGTACGTTTTATTTTGTCGTCTAAAAGTGCTCTATTTTATTGGTTTTTCTACTTCCAAAATCCATGCGTATGAAGTCGCAGGCAAAAGCCAGTCTATTATATAATCAATATTGGTTCGATATAGTCTTTCTTTTTCACTTGAACCCAACAATGCCCGACATATACAATGCGAAGGTAAATTTTTATATGTACCTACCTAATACTGTACGTGTACAGAATCGGTTATTTTTATGAAGTATCTTTTTTGTTCATAAATGAGGTCAATCCTAATGAATCCCAATATAGTACTCATTTCCAAGAATTTTCGTGTTACGTACTGGAAATATTTACGATTTACTGTTTGACTCATAATAGAATAGGTATTAAGTTTTAAATTTATTATTATTATACGTAACGCATTAATTTATTTATTTATTAAATAAATTTTAATTAATGATAGATTTATTTAAATAAATCTCAACCCACGTAAAATTACGATAAGGATGATGTTATGTATGCATCTATGATAATATTTAATATATATTAAAACAAAATTAAACTCATTTGTATATTTACGGAAAGCATAACGCAAATGGAAACGTATAGTATAAGGTATTAATCATGTTACAGTGTATTTTGAGATATCCATGGTACTGTTCATGTCTATAGGTGATCTACTAGTGAGTTGAAATGTTAATCATAGAATAAGTTGCATATATAAGTGTACTACAAAAAAATATCTCTATTGAAATCAAAATTTCCAATGACGGCTTAACAACAATCGTAACAATCGGAACATGATTTATTATTTTTTTAGTTTGTTATCAGAGCACCTTTGAAATTATTAATCAGAATAATGGAAATTTATTTACGTAATCGTTTTTAAAAATTGACCTACAATTCTGGCATTCCTGTTGATCGTATTAAAAAAAAAACAAAAAACAAAAAAATATCAACCGGGCAACGCCGACTGTCAAACAAGGTCGCTGGGTCGATTCTTGGACTAGCTAATATGAAACGAAGCATTCTTAATTTATGTCCATTGATAATTGTCTGGTGTCTCATAACGTAAGGCCCACGTAATTGGTGTGACAGTCTTGTAATTATTAGATATGTACTTATGTAATATGTATGAGTAATTCTACCAATTTATTTATTAATATTTTACTGTAGGTGTAGGAATTTATTGAGCGATGTTATTACTACTATAAAGGTAAAAAAAAACATTTATTTGGAGTGGAAAACGAATCGGGTATTTTTTCTAGTTAATAATTAATATGTATATATATAATATTATAGATTTAATAATATATTGCATCGTGTAGGTCCCTGCATAGAATAGGCCGCCCCTTCTTATTCCGTGAGTGTCGTAAGAGGCGACTAAGGAAACTTATAGTAGAGGGATGGGAAGCAGCATCCCTGTTAAAACATCCCCAAAGACCTAACTGCGGTTACCAACCCGCCTGCCAAGCGTGACAATTACTGGTAAAACCTCCCCATTTATGGGGGGGAGGCCTATGTTCATTTATTAAATATATTATATAATATATAAGGGTGCCTAAATGGAACGAATCACCTGTATTATCTACGCAAATGTAAATTTGTGTAGGTACTTGTATGTAGACGTTGAAGGATACTACGAGTATGATCTGTACTACGTAATTATACGGATATTATGCTGGCAAAGATAATTATTAGTATTATGGTTTTTATGGAGGAATGCAGCATTAATGTCGATTGTTGTTTTATTAGATGTGGCGGATATTTGTACTAACTAAACTAAAAAATGTGATTTATGTGGAGGAAAAGATGGAGAAAAGTGACTAACATCTAATCAACTAATAAATAAATACAGTGTGAACATCTGAAACAGTAGTTAGGGCGGGTTTCTGTACCCTCAGATTTTTTCAGTGGAAACTATAAGTAGGTTTAAAATAAACCTACTTATACTTTTTTCATTTGTTTTTTTTTCGTAATGGGTACTAATGGGTAAACTCCGTTTGTGATATCAGTATACGCTGGCGGGGCGTCAGTGAAAGATGATAGATGAGGATGAAAGCAGGTTAGATGGCTCTTGATGGTAAATTCATAAAGAATTAACCAAAATGGTTTTCAGGACGTGTGGAGGTCGACCTGATTGGGTATATTGCTAGCAATGGGGTCATTGGTCCTAATTACTAACAATCTCTTTTTTTTCCCCCAAACCTATTTATACTTGTACTGGATGGATGAAGTAACATAAATATTATTTTCTTTTTGAATATGTATATTATAATACATATAACGACCATCAAACCTACGATCATCGTAAGTTACGCGTCATACCGAAGTGTGACGATGTCGGAGTTATTTCTCAATTAAAAAGTGCTCTGATAGCGAATTGAAACGTTGATCATGCCATGAGATTCTTACGACTATTAAACTATCAACACGCGATGACGATAGCTATTATCATCAAGTAACAATAATAATATTCCAATTCTCCTTGGTACTTTTCTATTTTTTTTAAGTGAATACGCTAATTTGCTCACCTATGTTATTTTTGTTGTGCACGCTGGTGTTAGGGTATATAATACAAAATCATTTTTCAGGTCACTTATGTCAATTAATTCTTGCAATATCCCTAGGTAGAGAATCTGTAGGACAATAATAATAATTTGAACCATAGAAATAAATCATATCACGCAAATTGTCAATGACGACATCTATACTCGATGATATGTATTATATAGAAATGAGATTCAAAGTACAAATTTACCAGAGGGAGACTTTGTACAAAAGTCGATTGCTTGGGTACCTCTGTCCCATTCGTGTTTCAACCGTGAAGCAGTTGTGTTTGTATGGCTGTGTTTCGTTTTGAAGTGTGGGATATGGCGTGAATTGACTGGGTACAGAGGAATAACACCTAAGTTCTCAGGAATGGCAACGCATGGGGGGGTATCATGGGCGAAACAGTATACTCTGTTATGTCCATGGTACTGCTCATGTCTATAGGTGACGGTTACCACTTTCCATCAGGTGGACCTTCAGCTTGCTTGTTATTCTAAGTTGTATAAAAAAAAAGAGATTCAAAGTAGTCATCGCAGCATCGTCTAGTCGCAAGTCTAGTGAAAATTTGACGATTTTGCTAAGAAATAGAGACTACTCATTATGGTTGCAATCCATTATGCAAAAATGATAATATCTCCTTCAGACAATACATTCCATATCCCGATGAGATAAAGAATATCGCTCAAATATTATCAAAATCCCGTCCCTGACAAGTACTCAACAACGATTTCTCTAAAATACTGGGCGAGATCAATGAATGAATGAATGAATGGTTTATTTTCTCTTCACAAAAGGTGGAATAAAGTAACAACATGAGGTATAATTTGATATGAAGACCAGTTTTATGAGAGATCAATAAATCTTAGAATATATATGTAAATATGGAATTTAAAAATCCACCATAATTCATTGTCATTTCAGTACTATGGCGGTATAGAAAACAAGTACCTAGGTAACTACGTTAAACAATCTGAGGTAGTATAATCACAAACGATTTGATTGTTAAAGAAGGCGATAACAACGTTCAATATCCTAACACCCACGAAATCACAAAGGTCGATTTAGCAAAGTCAAAAATTATTAAGAAAAGGATTTGCTTATATTGTCTTCTTTGTATTGTTTTACTATACGTAATTCAAATATATTGGATGTAACGACCGCATGCCATTGAAAGTTAAATTCCTTGTGTACCACATCAAGTATTTCGCGAGACAATAGTTACACGGTTTATATAGTTTCGTAACATCTTGTGATAGATAGAATTTTAATTCACTGTGTTGATTTTACCAACCATTTTTTATTAAAGTATTAAATATTCACATCTGCTACATCAGTCATGTACCGAGCATAATATAGAACGTCGATTATAAGCAATTAAAATTACTTGACCTTGTGGTCTAAAAAAGTAGCGTTATAGCAACATAGTCTCCTGTAAAGTAGAGGATACCTATTGAATATTTAGAAAGCATGAAGATTCAGAGAGGAGGCATGCCTTTGATCTCTTTTAATATACGGAATTCTAGTTCTTATTAATATTGTAAATGTAAATATGTTTGTCTATTTGTTTGTTTCTTTGTTACCTTTTGGTGCCATAACAGTTTAAGTCATCCTCATAAATATTTGTATATCTACGCGTCTTAGATTATAGGGAATAGTATTTGGGATGAAGAAGGACTTAAGCTATTTTTTATCCCAGTCAATCAATGTACCCCGGTCACTTGGACGGTTCAAAGCAAGTATATAATATATAAAATGTAGTTGTTAGTAATGATAACAAAATGCGTCTGATTTATTGATAAACCACTGCCTACTTCTAATCCAATTAAAAAAACAATAATTGGCCTCGTAATTATTTTATTACTTCAATGTAACTTTAATATTAGTAATATACTTTAGAATATTTTTAAATTCACAAATTAATAAATAGTCACTTACCATCAGGTGAGCCGCATGCTCGTTTGCCACCTGCGTTGTAAAAAAAATATATATATATTGAAAATCTCCTGAAAATGGATCTAGGTTAGATCAGATTAGTTAAAAAATCTGTTATTAAATTATATACCTTCTAGTGACATTAAGATGGCCAATGGTAGAAAACAACATGTCATTACATTAACAAACTTATACTTGCCTAACTTTTTGTACATTTTTAGACTCTTCATAATAAATTAAAGATAAATCGATAAGTGTAAATATTTACTGGAAAGAAGTAAAATTTTGTCAGTGCTGTTTTTTACTTACATACCTGTTTGACAACATTTTAAAATACAATTTATTATCTTGTATTCGGCAATCTTAAATAATAGGCTGCAAAATGTTTACTTTCTGAAAAATTATTCCGTGGTGTAAGCAAGAACATTTATTCATATCAGCCGTTAACTGTCCACTGTTTGACATAAGCCTCTCCCATAAAGGGAGGTATTGGTAGTAGTTGCCACGCTTGACAAGCGGGTAGATATATGTTTAAGGGAGACGCGAAAGAAAGGGAAGTAAGTAGGAACATATTCCGCCCCGATAGTTGAGAGTTAAGGGTCATAATCCTGTTTGAGCGAACTGTCAGAAAATACAAATTTTTAAACATAACTTAGATACCTACATAAAATTATTACCGTACATGAGTCGTTTGTAGTAGTAAATGACTATTCATCTTTTGTCTCATTAAATTGTTTGTCGGCCTTTGAATATGTAATTACTTGGATTCGATGATAATGTAATCGATCCGATGACCATGACCTGTAAAATGATTGTCCAGTGTTTTAGTCAATTATTAATTCAAATAATATTACTGAGACTGAATTTTACCGCTTTAGAGCATGCTTGAGAAAAATAGGTCGGACGTTGCTATCTCGTTGTATCTTATGCGTGCGGTAGCGAAAACGTATCTACTGTAACATTTATTTGTCACTTTTCTATGATAGCTGGATATTTAACAGTGTAGCAGTATAAATAATAAGGTATTTATATAATCTGCAACCAATATTCACTATCAGGTAAACTTTGACGCGATTCCTCCGGAAACCGCATTGGTTTCTGGGTGAATCCGGCTTTTGTGACGACTTTGACTTTATCTTCACCTATAATCCTTCTTTAATACTCCGGCAGAGTAATTCAGGAGTTTTCATTCATTTGAAATCAATAACAGCTTAATAACTATTCGTGTATCATACAATTTTATCATAACATTGTTTTATTGTAGTTAGACACAGTGAAATGTTTATAAACTGTTTGTTTATACATTACTAAACTCACTAGCTCGAAGCCACAAACAAATACGGTAGTGAGCACGGAAGTGTCTGCTTAGCACGCACCAAGTTCCGACCAATGGTAACTGCTCGGTTCCGTTAGACGATCACGCTATGATAACTACATTTTCATGATATCGGTCATGTTTATTCTATGTAACTAATAAATAGTGGAGTGCAAAACTGGTGACAGGAAGTTGATAGCTAGCATGCGTGGGAGTCTCTTACATGGTTATTGGATAGACAATCGATTCAATAATAAACAAAATATATATGTTTTTAAAAAGAATAATTTTCAAATAAGGAAACTATTTTGATTAAGTTAGTGGTATTTATTCTTAGCATGTATATACTAAGTAGGGAGAAAAGTTAGGTAATAGACAAAATAGTGGGTTTAATTCATCTGACATGCTTATCCAATATATAATTAAAAGAAAAACTATAATAATATATAGGCATAGACCTATACTCATATAATTAATAACAAATATGTTAAATATTAGCTTACACAACTAGATATCCTTATAAGAATTTACAAATACCAATTTTAAGGTTTCTTGTATACGTATTTGGAATTCTGTTTATGGTACTTTTAGATTATTAGCATCTCCATTTAGATTTCTTCGATACCATATAATATTTTTATAATTAATGTTTTAGATTAAATATCTATTGCAAAACAACATAGCTAATTTACAGTATATAGGTTTGCAAATTAGTTTATCGCTCAAGCTTCCGGGCAGAATTATTATATGATTAATATAAGTCTAAGATTATCTATAATCCTTAATGTATTTTAAAACTCTGTTTTGTTTTAGAAAATGGCGGGTAACAGTTGGATGTTATTGGCTGTATTGGCCATTCATCTTGTGCAATGTAAAGTGGAAAAAGTAATTGAAGACCCCGCATCGGTAGTTTATAAGTAAGTCCATATGAAAATATCTATAAATAGTCTGGATGCAAATATTAGAATAAGTATACATATATATAATGCGTAAATAGAATGATACAAGTACCAGGAAAGGACTAGAATAACACATAGCGATGAAATATATCTATAAAATACCTATTTAGTCTTGTGCAATCTGATGGAGGAGTCAAAAAACTCTGGAATGGCGTTTATACATGGGAAAAGTCATCTAAAAATAGAGGCCATTGCGTTTAATTTTCTTTTGGTAAACCTTCAAAGTGGTATCTATTATTTATGGGCATCTGTAATTCTGAACATACTTAATACATGTATCCCATCCTCCATCAGCTAATAACTGGCCATTACTGAACATAGGGCTCCCCCATTAAGAGGGGTTTGCCAGTATTTGGTGGTAGTTTGGCAATTAGGATTTGGTGATGTTTTAAGGGAGACGCTGCTACCTATCCTTCTGCTATTAAGTTCCCTTAGTCGTCTCTTACGACACCCACGGGAACGGAAGGGATAACTCATTCTATGCTGGGATCACATGTACTTGTGTACATTACATTCATACTTATATATTTTCTTTTTAATTATAAGGGAAGTACTTAGAAATAATTAAGGGAGTGAATTGGGAAATTGGCAACTTTATTGTAACAAAATACCTAAATACATTATCTGGACCTTCACAGGCCATCGTGGATGTACAAGTGCATGGTGAACGAGGGCTGTCAACGTACGGAGCATCCGCAACCCCTGGGTAATGCTGAAACCAACGCGACATCGCATCTGTACCAGAACGTAAATTTATGTAGGACAGTTTGCGGACGATTCGGCGGTCTATGGCCGAGGCCAGTCTCTGCTACCCTCAGTACACAAACCGTGAAGATACATCCACAATATCTTAGGTAAGTTAGTGAATTTCTAGGTAGCCTTTTACCCGACTACAGCGAAGCAAAAAGGAGGAGGATTTTGGCCGGTTAATTTTTCCCTCATAACTTCTAAACTACTATTTATCATAATTTGATAAATAATATATGGTTGGCAGCGTTTTATGATGATATGAATTTTACTTTAATGCTTATAATTGATTAGAATGTATAGTTTTGTTAGCATTGTTTGCATCGAAATTTGTTACGCGTATGTTATTTAATTCGTACACAACAACTATTGATAATAAATATATAGACAATGAATTAAAAAATGAACATAAGTTTTAAAATACAAAAAAAATATTGAATGGTTTCAATTATTTTATTATTATCAATTTCATAACAATTTCATATGAGAATATTTTTTTGTTTTATAGTTTTTACCCTAAAAACTATAAAAAAAATCTTATATGATTTTTCAGTAGATGGGTTCAGTAAATTTTGAAGTTACTTTTTATTTGTGTTAATATAAGAGGGAAAAATTATGTTAGACACTATTTTTGTAGAGAATATGTGAAATCATACAAGCTGTAAGACTCTGTGCCGTGTAGACAGTTAAGGATTGATATGATATGATGATAAGACTGTTGACATGATAATTTAAGATTTAATTCCACAAAAAAAAAACCAATCGGGACACGATTAGTATGGACTGATACTGGCAATAAACCCTATCAATTAAGAATTATATCTTATAGATTTGATAAAATCTTTTAGCAAGAGAAAATATAAATTAGATTTAAATATAACGAGGAAATTCCGAAAATACTCATTTAATAGATATTTTTCTATTGAGCGAGTATTTTCGATGGCAAAAACGTTACCTGCCAGCCGCATTATATTATAATGCGCCCAGCATTTTAATAAGCTTTTTTTACTATTTATGATAATAATATACATTGAATTTTTTAACTCACGAAGGCAAACGTTCACCTCTGTTTTATTCAATGACTCATCAATTCATAAGGATAAATAATTAGTTTGCGAGGAACATTTGACTCGGTCCATTCAAGGATTCCAATTTTGGCATGTCTTTAATTTACAATGCAAATTTATTGAACCTTATATATCTACAGTAGGTATAAAATCACAGTCTTTATTTGTTTTATAATTAAATTTTTATGTATTCTAATATTAAATATTATTTTCATGTTGTTTTTATATGAATTTTATCACGAAAGAAGTTTTTTTTTTATATTCTGAAGAAGTTTTAATTTTATTAGCGCAATCCAGATCTATGTATGGAAATATGAATGTAATCGCAGAGTTTTTCAGCAACGGTATTTGTTTCGGTAGACTGTATTGACATCCAGAAATAAAAGAAAAGAAAATAATAAATCCAAATTAAATAGATGAAACATCTATTTTGTATTTGATGGGCCGGTTGATATATGTACATAACGACACACACACGCAGGTGTCTCGCGCCCGTCTGTCTATTCTCGTCCGGATCGGATCGTTGCTGATTTCTGCGTCATCGCAAACGACAATGTTAAATGTCTATGGTATACATAATAAGGACTACAAACATATATATTTTTTAAAAATACATTTAAAATATAAAAAAAACCGTTCTTTTTAAAAGTAAAAGTGATTTAAGTTATGTGGAAGATATTAATAAACAGGAAAAATATACCTTTACTATCTTATCTATAAATCATAGATGATTATTAATATTATTTTTAATACCACTGAGATGGCAAACAAGCATGCGGCCCATCTGATGGTAAGCGGTTATCGTAGTCTATGAACGCCTGCATTACCAAAGGTATTACGCGCGCGTTGCCGATTCTGAAGAAACCTCTTTACTCCCGTTTTAAAGAACCCCATGCTGTGTTTCATCCATAATCATTCCATAACCTGAGTGTTTGTAGGAGAAAACATCTCTGAAATTAAATAGAATAAAATATATTTTTTCTGTTGAGTCATATTTGAAGATCAGCCTGTACCTATTTATGAATAAGAATTTTATGCTTATTATTAATGCAAATCCAATGTAAGTAGAGCAATTTCAATTTTGTCACAAAAAATTTTGATACCTATCTAATTTGTGACAAAATGAAATCAAATCGTCTGACAAATTTGGTAAACATAGGTAGTAAACATAGTCTGGCAAACATAGGTACTTTCATATATTTTTCAAATATAATTTGGTAGAGTTTTTTCAGTTTCAAATTAATCATTAAAGAAGAACATAATGTTATTACGAATATTTAAGAAAAATCTAAATTTCATATGTGATCACACTAATATAGTATCAATGGTTTAACTTATACTACAGTACGAATATATGGAATTATATATGAATTTATCCATACAAATTGTTCTATTAACATTATAACTGAAAGGGATTCATATAAGTAAAATATCAATGCGTTTTTTTTTGTTTACATATAAATTTCCTTTGAACAGAACACAGAAAGGGCTACCCAGAATAAATCTTTTCGTCTACTTGCTGGGACTCGTCCAACGCAACGTAAGATAATTTTAGAGGCAAAATATCACAACACGAAATAAGATAGCTATCTAACTTTTATATACTCTTTATTTTCAACTATTTATACCATAGAAATATTATAAATATTAGAATGTTTATAAAGAATATTATTACGCAATCGTGCTTAGAGGGGCAGGATATATTTGAATGATATTTGATACACTGATGGACCATATGCGACTGATAAAATATATAAGCAACTGTTTATCGTAACTCACTTGGGCAAAACCGCGGGTTATAGCTAGTCATATTCATCATATCAGCCGTTCACTATCCACTGCTGAACATAAGTCCTTAGGAAGTTTTGCAAGTAGTGGTCACGCTTGTAGGCGGGTTGGGACGCTGCTGGCCATTCCTCGAGTATTAAATTCCCATTTTCATCTCTTACAACACTCGGTAAGGAATGGGTGGCCCATTTTATGTTAGGACCGCACGGCGAATTATAGCTAGCAATAACCATTAATTAATTATTGCCACCGAAATATAACAGGGAATTTCATTATTTCGCAATAATGTCAATTTATATTAGATATGTATTGACATAATTGCATATCTCTATGTGTATTTAAAAACGACAGAAATTTTATCGTGCCTCCGATCAAACTGTTTATAATTATTTCCATCCAAAGGTTGCTTGGAAGAGATTGCTTTTAGCGATAAGACCGTCCATTGTTTTCAGTGTGTTATGTAATAAATTTTTATAATTGTTTGTTTCCATAATAAGTTTATTATTGTAATCTTTTGGAGGAAACAATAAAAATAGTCTATTTATTGATTTCTATTTATATTATTAGGTATTATATGGTTTCTGAAATCTGATAGAGTAATTAAAATATAGAACAAACATAGAAATTTATGGGAGTATTAATTTCAATTAAAAGAAGAATCATAAAATAGATTCATAAAACGTTGTAAATATAAAAATACAGTCGAATAGAGAGCTCTCCTTTTTAAGTAAAGTGTAAATAACTATTATTGGTAATAGGTACCAATATTTTCCTATTGATCTGTATTTATATATAATTAATACAATAATTTAATACACTAAAATGGACTCTTCTATCTATTTCCCCGAATAAGACAATCTTCTAGAGAATGCATTGGGTTTTTTATTTGATAGTATTAACAAGGAAAAGATAATAGATATTGATAATAATAACTCCTTGGACTTTAATAGTTAAAGTTCAAGATCTTTGTATAATAAAGAACAGTGTGCGAAAATAAATAAATCGTTTGATAAATTAATAGTAGTAACTTTGTAGAAATTTAATTTAACGATAACAACATAGAGTGCATTTTTCATTGCAGTTGAGAAAAATTAGTATTACAAAGGCCAGTCTCATAGGCAGTAAGTAATTCTGATGTTGATAAATCTGTATCTTCCATTTACGTAGCTTATTTATTTATTTATTCAAATGTAAATACAAACACATTAGATTTAATAATAAAATCTTCATAAATACTAGTATATATATACATTTGTAGGATCGTTGCAGGTTTGGTGTATGATAAATTATACTAAACAACACTATAGGTAGGCATCGTGTTACTTTTACTTAAATTTTGTCTAAATTTGTAAATATTACGGTTACTACTTTCCATTAGGTGGGCCGTCAGCTTGTTTATCATTCTAAGTTGTATAAAAAAAAAATACGTAGTATATTTTTTAAGTTAATAATTCTTTTAGTGTTTTCTTAAATGTCATCGTCTCTATTTCTTTTTATAAAATTATTTAAAGAATTTAATAAGTATATACCGTAAGAATGACGACATTTCATTATTTATCAAATTTTAATTGAAGTTCAACAGTAAAAATTGACATCTTTAGTCTTTAATATATGAATATGGATTTATTTTTTACAAGTCCAATGATTTATTGCTGCCATTTATCATTAGAATCGCCAGGCACTTATATACTCGTACTTATACGTGCGAGAGTTCGCTGACCATGGCCGCGTATGTCATTTGTCTAAGTCAATATTTACTTATATTTCAAGTAAAGTTAAGCACGTAAAGTTATGAGTTGAATGAACCGTATAGATAACGGTGCTGTGACCTACGATCTTATTCGTTTATTTGACAAATGATTCGTGACCCAGCCTTCTATGGAGTACCCCGCCCACTTGCGGTGATTCCTTTAAGGATTCGCATATGACGTAGTCGAAAGCATGATTCCAATAAGAGAAAATCTATTATTTTTTTAGTTATTTATGTAGACATTTATTACTTTAATACACCATATAGAGAAGACATTATGCAGCACAGAAAACATTTTAAAAAATTACAACTACCTACACAAAACTACATTTACTAATGTAATAAAATTGTATCTAGACGATCGATGTCTGTACATGGAATATAAAATATTTAAAATAATATAAGTAATTAAATAAAATACATTTATTCAATCAAAATAATAGTTTTAGACATTTTGTCTATCTGCATGTCTGTAATTCACCAAATTGAATGCGGTTTCCACAGTCATCTAGACGTGGACGTATTGGTTTTTGTGTTTCTGAAAACTACACGGACTACGAAATAGTGGACAAAATACTAGTATTCTACAAGTATAAAAATAACAATGACATACACAAAGAACGGGCAGTACATGCAATCATATCTATGCAGTATGCCATTAACATTAATTAATATTTATTGCAGTGATTAAGGCAATTTATATATTTAGAAATTATTATTATCCATATCATGAAGTCTCCTCTCTTCCTTGTGGAGACCAAGGATTGCCCACTCCTGAATCATCTTCGACATCTGGCAACAAGCCTTTATTCTCCTAAAATAAGGGTTACCATTCAGAACTTTGGTTGCCCATTGCAGTTTGACTTGGTTGATTTTTGGTTTATATATTTTTTTCTGTTACTTGTTTTGCAGAGGTTAATAATTCTACTACGCAGCAAAATCTATCCACCTTCTGCTCCACGATACGTAATTTTGTTAAAATAGCAACAATTATAATAATTATAAAAAAAATATGTATATGACTACATAACCAAGTGGAATATTGTGTTAGTTGGAATAACCCACAGTTATAATTATGTATTTTTTATGTTCTAATCAACACTGGAACTTAGTGTCATCTTGAAGATTGTTGACGAGTTCACAGTTGATATTCTTCACATGTAGTTTTTATTACTATACCACTTGAACGTTATGACCTTTTCAAGTATCCGGTCGGTTTTGTTAAAATAAATATAACCATTGTAGTCAGCATGGAGTTTTGCAAGGCTCGATTGTAAAAAATATGGTTTACACGTATTGTTCATAGATATTTATTGCAATGGGATTTTGTTTCTGAAGAAACTCCGATAAATGCTATCAGAACTTAGTTCTGAGGTGTTTATAATATTGTTATTAAGTACACAAGAAACTAATAAAGTACAAAACGTTTTTAATCATAAATGAAAATAACAATAAAAGTAAGTTTATTATAAAATAATCATAATAATTTTTTTTCAAGCGACTTCAAAAAAAAAAAGGAGATTCTCGAATCTTAACTCTTTCAGTTGTAAAGATTTTGAAAACTCTTTTTTTTAACTGAAAGAATTTATAGATTGATCTCATAGACATTTTATTAAAATCAGTTTATTGTTTAGTTTTTGAATCAAAGTAACTGGTTTAGAATTTCTGAATCAAAGTATCTTAATTATTTATTATTAAAAAAATATAATTTAATTAGTCTTTTAATAATATCTTAATATATAAAAATTCCATATAATAATGTTCGTGACAAAGTACTGTACTGTAGTACGGTAACACAGGATTGGAGTAAATGTTATTTATTTTGTAGTCTTTGCTTACCTTAAATAGAAAAAAAGAGTGTAAGTTCCTAATAAGAGTACAATGTTTTAACTTATTTTCGTTTTCATCAGATACGATCTTGTCGACGTGCCAGTGGAGACTAGGGAACTCCTAGCTCAGATGACCCAGGTGACTAGTGAGAACATCATGGCGGAGTGTGGTGGCAACGTCACGGAGCTCGTCACCACACCTGTGGTGGTGTACCTCACTGTCAAGAGTGACGTCATCGCCCTCACATGGGATACCAATGAGGAGTACTTCCTTGATGTGCAAACAAAAGGTTTGTAAAAAAGGTCGTAGCTCTATATTTGTTACATCATTATTGATTTTTGATCTTATCGTGAGATAATTTGTGAGAAGATAAAAATTACCATTTCGTTGGACGAGTTCTATTGCAGAACAAAATCCTGTTATTTATAGACACCAGTTCCACGCCCTATATTTATTTTAAATTTAATGTGTGACATGTATGTATTGTCTGGTATTAGAAAACATCAGTAACAAACCAAATTAATACGACTGAAGCGGAACTTCGCTCTCTTCCTTGTTCGAATGTAATATACCAACGAAATGTAATGGCAATGGTACAATTGCAACAGTCCACAAATGCCTCTATCTAACCCATCAGGGAGCATAGTTATGAGCATATGCTCATGAGATATGTCGTGGATGTATTAATAAATATGTATATTTACATATGTTCTCTGTTCCATCATCGATATATATATTTGTTTAAAATAATAGTTCTAAACAACATTAATTTAGTCGCAATTGAAATTGTTGTTTTATTGCAATAAAATGTACAAATTATATACTTTATTGCATTCGGAAATACAATAAATAATAATTATAATTAGAGATAATTAATTAAAGGTGAACTTATCTCTGAAAGAGATATCTTCCGGTCTACCTAATAAAAGTATTTCCTAGTCTTCCATTTCTTGTTCTTCCTTCTTGCATAGGAAGTGGTATATACGAGTACTTATTATGTTTAATTTTTATATAATTATCTTTATAGATGGCACCGTAGTCGTTAAAATCATGGCCGAGACTGTATACGGAGTGCGTCATGGTTTGGAGTCTTTCACACAACTCATATCAGCTGACAAACCTGATTATTCTGACTCGTCTATATGTGGCCTACGAATTGTGTCCGGGGCCAAGATCCGAGATCGTCCAGTTTATAAGCACAGAGGCTTTGTTCTGGACACATCACGACATTTCATTCCAATGAAGGATATTAAGAGAACAATGGATGGAATGGCAGCCACTAAAATGAACGTCTTTCATTGGCACGTGACCGATTCTCATAGTTTTCCATTGGAGTCGTCCCGAGTACCGCAATTTACGAGGTACGTAGAGAAATCAACCCTTTTCTAAAGTAATATTATAAAGAGATATATTGATCTTTTATTTATAATAAATAATCTTAAAAATACTTAAGCACTTTTAAAAATGTTTTCACAATTATTTAAAAAGTGCTCTGATAGTGAATGAAGAAAAAATTTTAATGCAAATAAGTATTTTAAAAATTTTTGAAACAAGATTATCTATCCAACTACTACAGTGGTTCTCATGTTTCATTTATGTTTTAAATATTTTTTTAGGTATGGCGCATATTCTGCGTCTGAAATATATACTGTGGAAGAAGTGAGACAGTTAATAAAATATGCCCAAATACGAGGCATCCGTGTCGTCATAGAAATAGACGCTCCTGCGCATTCTGGCAACGGTTGGCAATGGGGAAAGGTAATAGTCATAGATTTTTATATAGATTAATCTTTTTTTAATTACCTGAATAAATTAAATTTTTAATTATGTATATTAATTTTCTTCATTAATTTTTATGAATAACAATCATCACTATATTACAAGTAATAGAGTTTTAAAATTGAGTAAATATTAAATTGCCGTGTCCAATAAATTGGTCCCAATATGTGGAACAACGGTTATATGAAACTGACTTACTCTTACAACTTCCAAAGCCTTCCTTGTAAGTAAGACAAGACAACTAAGAAAACTTAATGTTCGAGAGATGAGCAGCAGCGTCTCTCATAAAACAAAATTGAAATCTAACTGCGGCTACCAACTCGCTTGCCAAGCATGGCAACTACTGGTAAAACACGCCAATAGGGGAGGCCTATTTTTTATGCAACTTAGAATGACAAACAAGCTGATGGCTCACCTGATGGAAAGTGGTAACCGTCGCTTATAGACATGAACAGTACCATGGACATAACAGAGTATACTGTTTCGCCCATGATACCCCCCATGCGTTGCCATTCTTGAGGACTCAGATGTTATTCCTCTGTACCCTGTAAATTTATGCCATATTCCACCCTTCAAACTGAAACACAGCCATGCAAACACAACTGCCTTACGGTTGAAACACGAACCCAAACAAGCGACTTTTGTACAGTCTCCCTCTGGTAAAAGGATCAAGAGTGGACGGAGTTAACGGATGATATAATAGTAATATCAATAAAAATAAATTCAGAGTAGTAATTAAACTTAGAATACTCCATGTTATCAAGTAACTAGATAAATATCTGGGGACACAGCCAAGAATACTCAGAGCCAAGTCAGAGTTTAAAAATGTTCATTTTCTAAGATGGTCCCACCAAGAATTGAACCTTGGACCTCATTTAAGTAGAGCAACGGTGGTTATCATTGCACACAGTGCTCAATGACATTGTGATCATTGAGATTTTGTTATCTATTTAATAATTTACAACACAACACAGATAATGTCGTTTTATGTAACATATGATAACAGATCGATTTAAAAGAGCAACTGTACAGTTTCATGCCTGTTTTACGAGTACATGACATGTTTGATAATGTTTAATTCTGCTAAACGTGTTAAAAAATGACGATCGTATGAAATTTTATTAACCCTTACTTGTTACTAATATAACAAAATTGCAAGTAAACGATTTCTATACATAGGATATATCTGTCAAAAATTTATACCTGGAATCTTAATAGGAGCGATAAAATCGAAAATAATAATTTCTGGATATTTTGTTTGTCTTTTTCTTTGTATGTTTGTTTTGGCATCAACTGCACCAAATTGGAAGTGATTTTTACATTCGTATTCATAGTCTTGTACATGTTTTATCTGGATTTTCCTACTTTTGAATATATATATTTACATATATGTGTTTACCAGTTTTTAAGTTAGACTTAAAATCTAATTTAAAAACTAGTTCTAATCCTTTTAATTATTTTATTTAATTTTGACCATATATAATATTCATCTAATTTTGGTTATTCTCAGGTGTTTACGGATTTTGGAATTCTGTTGTTCTTTTTGATTTCTGACGATATACGAGAATTTTAAGTTTGAAAAGAATTTATAATTTTGCAATAAATATTTCGTTTATGCTTCAGGATTACGGGTTTGGTGATCTCGCTGTCTGCGTAAACTCGGAACCATGGCGGCGTTTATGCATCCAGCCGCCCTGTGGCCAGCTAAACCCGGCCAATCCGGTATTGTACCGGGTCCTGCGTTCGTTGTACAGAGACATAGTCGGGGTACTGCCCAAACCAGCTCTATTCCACATGGGTGGTGATGAGGTTGGTACATATACACGTCTGTTTTTTTTTTTTAATTTTAGTGTGTGTTAGACAATAAAATAAATAATTAAGGAATTGTTAGGTTGTATTGAAATAAATTACTCGAATTTTAAATGGGACTCTTACCAGTAATAGAGTTAGGACTGGGAGTGCCAGGAATTATATATTAATAAAGGGTCGTATTAAACATTTTCGTCAGGGGCGCCAAATGGGATAAAGCTAGTCAGGACTTGTATGAACAATTTGTTATTTTGATTCGATTTTGACGTTAGCTGGCGATGTGTAGTTTTTTTTTTCAAAAAGTTCTGCTCATGTTAAAGACCTGAAATGGCGATATGTTTTGATGTTTTCAGTGTTTCCAAACCAACATTGAATTATTTATTTTATGAAATATGTTTTTTTTTAGTATCTTATTACACACAAGAATAATCTAAACAAAATAATTCTAATAAAATAACTATAAACGCTTTTAAAACGATCTTTTTTTTATCATATGAACATGGTAATGTGTCTGAAACCTCCAGCTATTTTTACAATATCTACGTATTACGTAACTACTTATAGCTAGATAGTTACCTAATTAACAGTTCACAGCTAAAATGCTATTGTATTCCCCGAATTTAACAAGTCTTGTTGCTATTGAGACATTTAAACATTCAATATTCACAACTCGTTCAACATTTTTTATTATATCTACTTATGGAACATGGTAATCGTCGCTTATAAAATGTACTATCATGAATACTTACTATGAAAATATACAACACTATTCATGGCATATATATTTACCATTATATGTTAGTTCTTGTGTTCGGTATATGCTGTTTATGAATGAAATGTCCGGGATATTACGAAACAACAACACCGCAAATATCGCTACTAATTGTAGCATTCCACCATTTTACTTATTTCTGCATGCGGAAATAAGTAAGATGGTGGTAGATAAATAGAGAGATACTCTTTATTGTTTCCTCCTAAAGATATATAGTTATATAAGAGAAGTCAGTGGATGCAGATCGCTCAGGACCGTTCCTTATGGCAGTCTATGGGGGAGGTCTATGTCCAGCAGTGGACGGATAATAGCTGAAATGATGATGATGATAATGGAAGTATCTATAAAGCTACCAATATTTCGACGGTTACCATTTTCCATCAGGTGGGCCATCAACTTGTTTGCCATTCTAAGTTGCATAAAAAAAACTTTTACCCTGTATAAGTAAATGTATTATTTTTCTATCATAGGCGACCTGCATTGTATTTGTAATATTTATTTGTAATATTTATTCCTAAAATTAGGTATCTATATTACGTTATTATCATCCGTTAATAAACTGATTGATTGAAAATAAAGATAAGTCATAAGAATGTTTACACTTTATGATTTTAAAATTTACTGCAAGTTACAAGGTATTTAAGAGAGTAAAATTTTAGGCCTAAAGGCGATTTAAAGAGTAATAAAATTTTGTTGTGAAATGCAATGATTTTGATGTAAATTCTTGTGTGGACCTAATCCACTATACCAATTTCATTGCAAATTGGTGCTTAAATGCTTTTAATAACGTACTGGCCTGCTGCCAACATCGAAATATTACGGAAATCTATTTCTTGTATAGATAACAATGTCTGCTTTATATTTTAGCATATATTGAGTTGCTATTGTATAGTTATTTAAATCCAAATCTGATGTACTTCCAAATGGAATTGAATTAATCGATATGTTTTATCACGGGTTAAAGGATGTTTAAGTCATTCTGATTGTTAATGAAACTGAACAATTCAACTTCAAGCTTCAATCATCATAGAATAGGTATTCCTTTCCTGTGGGTGTCGTAAAAGACGACTAAGGGAACTTAATAGTCGAGAGATGGCTAGCAGCATCCCAAAACTATCACCAAAGCCTAACTGCGGTTGCCAATCCGTTTGCCAAGTGTGGCAACTACAGGATCCACCCCCCCCCCCCTCCACACCCTCTTCAAGAGTAAACGGCTGATATGATGATTATGTTATCAGCAATTTCCATCCACTACTATATATAAGCTTCTCCCTATTGGGACGATACCCACGGGAAAGGAAGGAGTGGCCCGTATATATGATATAATGATATAATAGGAGATAATTTATATACCTACTACTTTTTACTCCCGACTTCGTCTGTATGGTCAGGATAAAAAGTAGCTTATATCCTTGTCTATCTTATAAAATACATATATAACAAATTTCATAGTGTTTTGTTAAGCGGTTAACGCACTGCTTTTAATTAAAAATGCTTTTAATTTCTAACAAAGATATCGAGGACATTCTCATAATAATCTGAATAATGTTACTAAAGAAGGTAACAAAAATTTTCTCTACATTTTAAGGTTTTCTTTGGCTGTTGGAACTCTAGTCAAGACATTACATCTTATATGGCGAATAAAGGATTCGAGACTAATACCGAGGGCTTTATGAGGTTGTGGGCGGAATTTCAAGCCAAAGCACTGCAGTTGTGGGATGAAGAACTGGTAGCTGAAGGCGCCGAAGCGAACCAACCGGTAATGATTTGGTCATCAGAACTGACCCAAGCACATCGGATAAAGAAATATTTAAATAAAGACAGGTAAGTAAGTACGTACAAGTAGACGTTATTTATGTATTTGTTATTTAGCATAGGTTTGAATTATATGTTATTTCTCGTAGAAAATATAGAAGAGAAATAATCCATATATAATTGTAGTTATATCGAGTAAAATTCAAATATCTACTCAGATTGTACCCATGAAATGTAAAATCAATTAAAACTATATATATGTAGGTATATGAATTCAGGAGCTTCGGGAATTTATAGTCAAAGCAGCAAGCTATGTTTTATTATAATTAATATAATTGCAGACTATTGTAGTACGATATGGTCCCAGCATAGTGTCGTGAGTGTTTTAAGAGGTGACTAAGGAAACTTAATTGTCAAAGGATAAGCAGCAGTACCCCACTTAAAACACCATCGAAAGCTTAAGCCAATCCGCCGGACAACTGTTGCAACTACTGGCAAAACTCCTTATGTGAGAAGCCTACGTTCAGTATTGGACAGTTAAATATGATTATAATGATGATTGTAATACTTCTAATAAATAAAAATAAGAGTTTGTAACAGAAACAAAATTTGTGTAAAAGTATTTGAAAATTGGCTTATAGATAATTTTCCTTATTAAAATATAGAATACATTTATCCATATTGCAGAAGTTGCGTACTTATAAAACAAATAATGTTTTAGATACGTGATAGAAGTATGGGAGCCGGAGAGCAGTCCGCTTCTCAATCAATTAATGCGGCTTGGGTACAGGGTCGTATCGATACCAAAGGACGTATGGTATCTGGACCACGGCTTCTGGGGGCAGACCAAGTATTCTAACTGGCGACGTATGTACTCTTATATGCTGCCGAGGGATCCCAACGTGCTGGGTGGAGAGATAGCCATGTGGACTGAATACGTGGACACTGAAGTTTTGGGTGAGTAGTTATTTATTTATATTAGAGTGTTTTCTGGAAGGGTATGTTGTCTCGTGGTCCCAATATCATTCCTCTATAGTATTTCTATCACAACTGTTATTGTACTCGTATATTGTGTTTCATTTTGAAGAGTGGAAATTGATAGTGAAATTACTGTACTCAAGCACAACATTGTAACTCTCAGAAATAGTAACGCATGAGAGGTACATGAGGACTTTTTGATAGCATATCAGTTATCAGTTGATAATAATAATTTTTATTTAAGTGAGTTGGGGGTCAGATTGTGTATTTGACAATACTAGGTATGCATCTCTGCTACACGGGCCATACAAATATCCCTCGCTCCGTTGTGGAGACTAACCGCTTGTTTAACTTGTGTCTGAGATCGAGAGTACTCTTGTTAGAGGAGTATCCGATTGGGGACGACTAAACTTAGTCCAACTTAGCCCATCTAAGACACAAGATTGCGCATTCACCGCTAAAGAAAACTCCATTTACTGTAGCTCCGTAATTCGAGAACACATCCATTGTTATCTCCAAAATTGGGATCCTTGCTTTGATTGCTATCGGTATACACTGGCGGAGCGCCAGTGATAGATGATAGGTGAGGATGAAAGCGGGTCAGTTGGCCCATAATGACGAATCCACAAGAATTAATCACGATGGTTTCCAAGGCGTACCACGTGGATGTTGACCTGATGGGGTATATTTTTTTTATGCAACTTAGAATGGCAAACAAGCTGACGGCCCACCTGATGGAAAGTGGTGACCGTCGCCTATAGATATACAGAGTATTCTGTTTCGCCCATTTCTGAGGACTCAGATGTTATTCCTCTGTGTGTAAATTCATATTACTAACATCACTCACTTCATAACGGGGTGAGTGAGTGATGTGTCGTGTGATGCGTGCGAGTGATGATGTGTGCGCGTGGGCAGACACGCGCGTGTGGCCGCGCGCGGCGGCGGCGGCGGAGCGGCTGTGGGCGGACCCGAGCGCGGGCGCGCAGGCGGCGGAGGCGCGCCTGCAGCGGCTGCGCGCGCGCCTGCGCGCCCGCGGCCTGCGCGCCGACGCGCTCGCGCCCGCCTGGTGCGAGCAGCACGACGCGCGCTGCATCTGATGCCATGCACTCCACATACACATACACGGCACGCTCCGTGACGTGTTTGACGCATCTATTTATTCATTTACTAGCTGACTCGGCGAACGTTGTTTTACCATATACATTATTTCTAGAACTGTACATGAAAATTTATCGTACTACAATTATTATATTCGATTGTCAGCTTCCAACCCTATTGCGGCATATAAAAATCGTGATTAAAAAACAGGAGTTGATCGTAGAAGCGTGGAAATTTGAATTTGTATGTATTTTTCAATGCTAAATCATAATAATATAAAAATGGAAAAAATTGTCAAAAATTAAAAAAAAATTTTTTTGGGGAGGGTCATCTTTATCATTGAGGGGTATGAAAAATAGATGTTGGCCGATTCTCAGGTCTACCCAACATGCACACAAAATTTCATAAAAATCAGTAAAGAGGTTTCGGAGGAGTTTGGTAATAAACACCGTGACACGAGAATTTTATATATTAGATTATTTATATTTCCCACTTTATTTACCTATTAGCCAGCGCTGTTTATAATAGCGCCGACTCGGCCCACTGGGCCCTAATTAATGACGCGCAGGCGGCAGCCTGCGCAGCTTAGGCTCGGGTAAGGAGCACATGCTCGTAAGGGGCTGTGGATGAACCCGTGACTGACTATATCTAGGGCTGCCATCCGACCGGAATTTCCCAGCAGAGGTTTTTGAAAAGTGTCTGGCTGTAACCGGTTGTTGTCAGGCGAAATCTATTTTTTCTTATAGGTAGGCGATCAATTGAAATAAATTTTAATTGTAAATTCATCCACAGTAACCCTGTTTTTATATAACAATGTTTTTATTTTTGTTATAAAAAAGGATTTTTTCAGAAGTGTTCGGTGAAAAAACGGAAAAATATTTCGCCTAAATGTCCGGGATTTTTACCATGTTTATTTAGTGTTGACAATTTAGGTGATGGCAGCCCTATCTATATTTCCCTAACTGTATTTCAATAGATGTCAATGGAATAGTAAAACCGGTCTGTCCTATAGATTTAATGTCATGAAAACGGAAAGACTTCGTTTCTTATTTGACACGATAAAAATTATCGTTCTTCTCATACTTCATCAATTTTTATTTAAATGCTAAGATAAGAAATGAAAGTTCATAAAAACATTCTTTAGGGGATCAACTGAATTCGTAAACAATTTTGTATATTCCTTTAATTTAAATTATTTTCCAATATTTTGTGGTACTGAACTCGATGTTATCTTGCGGAAATCCATATCACTGGTTATTTGAATATAATTATTTTATCCAAACTGCGAATTCATTCGCACTAAATGTAACTAAATAAAACTTAAATTAACTTCAAATAACACTAGGCTTTGAGCAGCGATCTAATAATTTGCCTGAAGATGCTTCGTTTAGAGGTGAAACACGTGTCGCAAAAGGTGCGTGAACAAAATGGCAGTCGGAGATTGATGACTAATATGGAAGGTTGTAGAACTTCTGATAATAGTAGTAGTCAATCTTCAAACGTTAGTCGTCACACACTACTGGTAGCAGAATTAAACAAAATAATTCTATTCAAATAACCAATGTTTTATTTTAAAAAGAAAATCGCCTCATGATTTATAATACGATAAATTAATATACTTCCTGTATCTTGTTTTTAATGGATGATAATGATATGGTAACCCCGCTTGTGTTATTGGTATACGCTGGCGGGGCACCAGTGAGAGGTGATAAGTGAGCCCGTCTGTATCTTAGAAAATATAGATGTAGTAAAATGTTCTTTACTTTAGAGTACGTATATAGTACCCGTACTTTGAAGACACTGCCACACGGGCCAATTTTTTTATATATATAATTTGAGCGTACTTATATAAATATATCGTATGTGAGAAAATATTTTGTAACACAAAGTTACCTATATTATCAAATAATTAGCAAAATAGTATTATAGAATTTCGGTCATTATATCGATGGCTTTGCGAATTCAAGTCAATTACAGAATAGACTATGTATATTGAAAAGTCAATTGAAAAGTAATTATTAATAAATTGAAAGACAATGCTTAGATAAGTAAAAAAAAAAAAAAACACAGTTATTGGCTCTATACTCGTATAGTTACAGGACACTTCCACTTTATTTAAAAAAAAAACAAGGACCAGAATAAATAATTTTAAAATATGACCTGGGAGCAGTGTGTATTGTCTATTATTATATTATTATGTGTATTTGGCCGACAGCACACCTGCAATGCCGCTGGTGTTGTGGGTGATCATGGGCGGCGGTAGTCACTTACCATCAGGTGAGCCGCATGCTCGTTCGCCCCCTGTGTTGTAAAAAAAAAATGAAAATTGTTTTTTTTTTTTTATATAAAGGCGAAGTAATAACTCAATAGGGACTTATAACTGAGTGTCCCCTGCTACCTTTGGGACAATGCAATATAATAAAGACACTTATATTGTTTAAATTAAGCTATGCACATAGATAAATAATAAATATACTTTCGACTGAGGAAGTGAAAAATCGTGGAACACAATATTTTAAATAGTTTCTCTGCTAGTAAGACAGATTAAATTATTGATTTGATAATTTCGAATCAAGATTTATTTATTTAATTAAAAGTCTCTTGTCATAAAGACTGATATTGTTCGAAATAAAAATATTTGCAATTAGTGAATACATGTTTGTAAATGATTAGTTATAAGTTTTTAATAATTTATGATTATTAGTGTAAGTATATAATAAAATGTTAAATTATCCTTTTGTATGACATCCAATGTACTCTCTAATAAAGTAGATAATCAATATATTGTCTGTATACAGAAAATAGATCAATAACATTTAGATAGGGTATTGTAAGTACTTCGAAAAAAACAGCATTTTTTTTAAACATCCCTGTTTTAAAAACAGCTTAATCTTGTAGCTAGTGACATAAAACACTTACTGTTATTTTATTTATTTATGATAATTGTTAATACATCCTGTTAATAGACTGAATATTTGAAGAAAAACAAAATGATCCACCTTTTGGTTAAACGTTTTTAGGATGTTTTTTGAATTCAATACTTACTCTATCTATATGATCTCAAATATAAATAACTGTCGAATGATGCCTCGTTATATTCAATAGTTCAGTTGTAATTTCATCTATATTCAGCAATAAGTGACAAATAGTTTGAAGAAGCGATGGTGAAATTTATAAAAACTTTTTTTTTCATAAGAGATGTTTGAATCACTACCGAATAGGATCACTTTATTCTAATTTCGAAATTTCTAAAGTTAAGTGCCTATTCTATTGTTTAGAACAAAGATTGATAGAAAAGCAACAACCAATTATGACTTAAAATTGTATAGTTCGAATTTATAGGACAATTTGAATATGTTTGATAAGTATTTTGATACACTATTGTGATACTTAAATTACCTAATGTAAGTAATGAATTTAATCTTATGAAAATGTATGCCTTGTAATAATAAAATTAAAGGTGCTATATCAAACTAAAGTGACTTTTATTTTTCATATTTCAATTTGTTATCTAAATTTGATCCGACCTAGTATCGAAATAGAGACTTCATTTATGCAAAACAACGTGCTCACTATTGTGCCATGAAGATTATCGTATAGATAGTACATTATAGATATTTATGTAAAAACTAAGATACCCAACTGTTGAAGACATCAAAAGTATAAATGAAATGGTTAAAATTGAGAATATGTGTGGATAAATAAGGAAATACCTGGAACTTATTTAGTTTGCCTATTTATTTACTAATTTAAAACAATTTAATAGATACATATTACTTATTATGAATTACAATTTAATACTTAATACTTCAGTATTCATTTACAGGGCTAACTGAAATCATCGATCAACAAGAGTGAAATGATTACTTCAGTCTCTTACAAAATTACACAATATGATATTTTTAACAGCTATGTATCTAGGTACGCATATTACATATTTATAAATAATAGATAATGTAAAGTTAATAAAACAGAGGGAGATTTTGTACAAAAGTCGATTGCTTGGGTACCTCTGCCCCATTCGTGTTTCAACCAGCAGTTGCAGTAGTAAAGCAGTTGTGTTTGCATGGCTGTGTTTCGGTTTGAAGGGTGGGATATGGCGTGAATTTACCTGGTGAAGGAATGGCAACGCATGGGGGGTATCATGGGCGAAACAGTATACTCTGTTATGTCCATGGTACTGCTCATGTCTACAGGCGACGGTTACCACTTTCCGTTAGGTGGCCCGTCAGCTTGTTTGCCATTCTTAGTTGAATGAAAAAAAAAAATTACATAAAATCCCATTTTTATACTTCATTACCTTTTAAATTTTTCATGTCTATACATTGCTAATCTAAGCAGTTGGCTTACATTTTATTGTGTTACATTTTGATAGACGTTAGGTTATAATCTTAGATTATTTTATAGAGTGTCTCCATACAAATGTTTCGAGAAAAGCGGGTGAATTTTTCATACAATTTGGCGTGATAAAGAGTTATGAGTGATTCCTTTATAACTTCTATATTTTGTCTTATAAATTCTGCACTTTTTAATGCACGTAAACTCATTTTTTAAATAATTAAATATAGATACATAAGATACATTGCTTACGTAAGTATATAGAGCATTAATAAAAAAAAACAGTCAGCTAATTTGACTAAAAATTGATCCGTTTTTTAGGCTCGATGCTCTGTCTATGTAATCTAAGGTTATAATATATTAAAATTACTGGGTAAGAACAAGTGATTTCTCCAATGTTAAAAATATTTATGAACTTATGTTTGTTTGCCGTCATACATTGTAGTTACACCAAATTAAATACTGATCTTTTACTAATGAGGTGGCAAACAAGCATACAGCCCATCTGATGGTAAGCAGTTACTGTAGTCTATGAACGCTTGCAATACCAGATGTATTACGGGTGCGTTGCCGACTGTAAATAAACCCTTTTTTGATGAACTCTATGCTGTAATCTCTTGGAAAAACCTCGTTAACGCATCACATAAGAAAGGCTGGATTGATTAAACTATTTTTTTTTATAAATGTTCATTAACGTTTAAAATTTTTAGAAAATGCAAAATATGTAGGTTCGTATAAGACAATGTTTGTTACATCAGCTAATATAAAATAATAAGCAACTTGCATAATTATAACACATGTGGGATTTGTATATTAAATAAAGTATAACTTGTGGATTGTATAATATCAATATTCCAAGTACTTTGAGTTTGGTCCAAATGAAAATATACCTACTGTTAAATTAAGTCTGTTAATTTAATCGTATGCTTATATATTTCTTAAGTTTTTGACTGTCGTTTAGTTTCTAATATAATTATTCTAATATGTCATGTATGTAAAAAATTATTATGTATTAGGAGTATAAAATTAATTGCCTCAAGAATATCTGTAAATAAATAATTTGTTAATCGGAAGTAAATATTACAAGTATTTGAAACTAAAAATCTCCATTCATTTAGATCTACAATATGAATACACATATGGATCCACACAAATGAGCCCATGGCCCAACATTTTTTGAAATTTTATAACCTAATTGTTTAACATTAGTGAAATTGACTTGATAAGATATAGACGGTTTTGAAGTCAGGTAAATGCATTAATAAATCCCATTGGTTTGTTTTGGTATGTTATGCTCGTATTCCGATCATAGACTAAAGAAACGAGTTGCCTGGTAATGGAATTGAGAGGTGAAATAGAAACTTTGTAAAATAATCCAACTTCATCACGTTTGGGCTCATATGATTTGTCACGTTGAGTAGTTAACTGACAAATACTGCTCAGGATTTAATAATGAATGAAGCCTGAAAACCACTACATTCTATGTATAAAAGTTTCTTTTTAAAAAGTATTTCTAAATAAAATAATTCGTTTGAAATGCCATACTTCGATTATATCGACACATTGTTTCTACTGATATTCCTTTCACTATTTCCATTTTTTAATGAACCTAAACTTAAATCGTTTGGTACCAAGTCATGTAATACAGTGTCACTTCTGAATATACCAGTAGCTATCCTATTTGCAAGCCTTTCTGATTCTCTTATGTCATCATCTTTCGAAGAGTGAGACGTAAGATCGATTTCTGTATCGCTGTCACTGTCACTCGTCTCTTTATCACGTCTTTGTCGATAAGCCAGGTTCTGGGGCTCTTCCATAGATGTGGCGCATGGACAAGGGTTCTTCGCCATCACCCTCAAATCTGTGGGAACAATTTCGGAATTGTCCATTTGTGGTGACATTAGTAAAGGTGGGAACGGGAAAGGTTGTTGCAATATTCTTCCATCTTCGTTGCCATACATTTGGGAAGAGATATCGTGTGCTGGGTTAGGCATCGGGGTCAGTTGGTCTGGCATGGTATTGTGGATATAGGGATCTTGTCGCGGGGATTTTAGTTCTCTAGTTTCTAAGGTCTGTGGCTCAGGAGATTCTTTCTCTGAGGGAGACTCCGGAGCTTCCGGCGAAGAGTCTGGTGGTTTGGCGTGTCCTGAAATACCATTAAATGTGCTATTAGAAAGAGCATAATAATGTAATACGAATTTATTTAATCATTATAAGATCGTCTTTCATGAAACAGATTTTTTAATTACCAATATTTTTAACTACCTAGTTAAATAAAAGTAGAAATAAGAATATTCTTCTTTAAGGAAATAGGTTAATTCTATTTATCTAATTTTACCAGAGGGAGACTTTGTACAAAAGTCGATTGCTTGGGTACCTCTGTCCCATTCGTGTTTCTACCGTGAAGCAGTTGTGTTTGCATGGCTGTGTTTCGGTTTGAAGGGTAATGGCGTGAATTTACTGTACAGAGGAATAACACCCGAATGGCATTCATGGGCGAAACAGTATACTCTGTTATGTCCATGGTACCTCATGTCTATAGGCGACGGTATCAGGTGGGCCATCAATTCTAAGTTGTATAAGTTGTATAAAAAAAAAAAAATTCTAAGTGAAATTTCATTATTATCATTATCATATAAGCCATTATCTGTCTACTATTGAACAAAGGCGTCCCCCTATGGAAGGGGGAGTTACCAGTAGATTCTACGCTTAGCAAACGGGTTGGCAGCTGCAGTTGGGATTTTAATGATCCTTCAAAAGGGACGCCGCTACCCATCTTTTGATCACTAAATTCCCTTAGTTGCCTCTCACGACACCCACGGGAAAGGAAGGGGTAGCCCAGGGCTATACAAAATCTCCAAAATTCTCCAAATATTTCATTTCTCTAATTTTTCACGTGCAGAAACTCCTAATCTGTCAATTTTCTCTTATATGATATTAGCTTTTTGTAATTTGCACGCATGGATTTCAGAAGTAGTAATGGGTAGTTGTAATGAGTTGGGTTAGTGATGAAGCGCAACTCAAACTTTTTGTTTGTTTCAACACATATTTCTTTGGAGAAAATGTTCGGTTTCACTAGTAGAACATTTCTTTAAAGAGTACCAACGATTTCGATTTCAGCCGGTATATCTTTAATTTTTTTTTATCCAACTTAGAATGGAAAACATGCTGACGGCCAACCTGATGGAAAGTAGTAACCGTCGCCTATAGACATGAGCAGTACCATGGACATAACAGATTATACTGTTTCGCCCATGATACCCCCCATGCGTTGCTATTCCTAAGGACTCAAGTGTTATTCCTCAGTACTCTGTAAAGTCACTGCCATATCCCACCCTTCAAACCGAAACACAGCCATACAAACACAACTGCTTCACGGTAGAAATGCAAACGACTTTTATACTAAGTCTCCCTTTTGTACATTCTATATACATAAAGTATCTATTCGTATCTGTTTGTTTCTCTGCATATTTTTCCTAAATCACTTTACGAATATTTGTATGGTTTTTACACACGAAATCAGGGTAAATCGCTAGTACACATATAAATTTTTTGCACCACTAAATTCCGAAATAATAAGTATTAGTTGAAAAACTCTTTGAAAACTGAACAATCTGCGACGGGTGCCGATGTCTTTGATTATAGTATTATGAAGATAATACTGTTATAAGGACGATAATAAGACGGAGGTAGTCAATAAATATTTTTTTAAATACCTATTTATATTAAACAAGTTATTTTAATATTTTAACATGAAGTTGTTTTTTTGATAAATTGTAATTTAATCAAACTTGTCTAACATATACGTTTAGTTGTACATTTATGTTCAAAATATTATTTATATTTAAAAAAAATTTTATGCATCTTAGAATAGCAAACAAACTGATCGTCTACTAGATGGAAAGTGGTAAACGTCGCCTATAGGATAGTATTATAGTGAATAGTATTGGTACCCATGGTACTATATGTACATACATAACAATGTTTCTAAGAGTAACTGTGTCGCCCATAATATCACTCTTGCGTCGCCGTTCCTGAGGACTAAGGTGTAATGGCTCTATAATTTTACATATACCACCACTATATATACACTGCAATGCAAACATAACTGCTTCACGGTGGAAATACTATTGGGACAGAGGTGCCCAAGCAAACGACTTTTCTAATTCCATCGGCTAGAATTAGCGAAAGGCAAATTTTGTAATCTATTAATTAAATAAATTGAAATTGCAATTTAACTATACCTTGCAAAGAAAGCGGTGGTGATCCGAGACCCAAACATCTCATGCGCCAAGCGTCTTGGAGTAACTGAAGACGAGCTTGTTTGCGCCATTTGGCTCGTCGGTTTTGGAACCACACCTAGTAATGTATTTGTAATTTAATATAACTACAACATAAATACTTTCTAATTCCTCCTTGTAAAGTGGCTAGCTCAGACATTGGAAGTCAAATGGTACACATTATTATAATGAAGCTGTAATCTTATTCAGCTTAAAAATGTAGTAGATTGTAAGGAAATCGAATGTTTAGATTTTGAATTAAATTATATTTGTCACTTAATCACGCTTATATAACTGATTTGAATGAAACTTGGTAGATGGGTAAATCATACCTAAATGAACGCTTTTTAATTTAATGATAGTATTTATTCTAATTCACTAGGTTAAAACTACGAGTTATAACCTGTACAGACGCTGAGTTCTTAAATAGATTTAATGAAATTGATTAGGATACTTTACTAGATTAATAAATCAATATTCAAATGATAAACTGCTCGGTTATTAATTATCTTTTGTATTTAAAATGTTTAAAGGTTTATACACGTTGAATACATCTCAAGACTTTTAATTATATATTAATTTAAAGCTATTGTTAAAAGAAATTTAGATGATTTATTAATCAAAATCTAGATAATAAACCAAAATATAGATGTATTTGAAAAAATAAACACGTAGTTCATTCGTAGAAACAAAAATTCATCTTCTTTATTGTGCGATATAGAAAAATAACCCTTAAAGTATATATAAATATTTTTTTAAAATGTATATAGAAAAAGCTACCTGAACTCTAGCTTCTGAGAGGCTAATCCTCAACGCTACTTCTTCTCTCAAAAACACATCTGGGTAGTGCGTTTTCTGGAACAATGATTCTAATTCACTGAGCTGCTGGGGTGTGAAGGTAGTCCTGTTCCGTCGCTGTCGGCGTCTCCCGAACATGTACTCAGTGAGCAGGTCACCAGGTAAAGGAGAAAGGTATGGTCCAGCCATTATAGAAAAGTCTTTTAGTTTCTAATACGTTATTTTAAATCTGATCGAGATTTGCATATAATAAATAATATTCGTGTTATTTTTTTTATAAGCATAATAATAGTAATAATTTTCAATTCGGAATTTCGAATTAATTTAAATTTCAACTAGTAGTAAAACATTTGTGTGATTCCGAAAAAGTCTTCGATTTTCGAACACGTCACTAGTGTAAACTTTTCGATCACAAACCACTACAAAAGTTAGGGTTGAAAATATGAATGTTATACTCGATACGATCTGTGCGGTACTGTTGAGTCAGCAAAAATCTTTTGGAGAAAACTCCCTTGGCTCCACCCCGTACGGAGCGAATAGCGTGTGCGATTGGCTAAAGGATGCAGGGGTTGGAAATTACAACCAATGACGGGCCACTTTTAGGGGTAGATTTTAATAGGTGTAGATTAGGTTATGGCGCATCTATGTGTAAATACAAATAATGTATATTAGTGCACCAAGTAAAAACTTAATTTAGAACATTAACAAACATTATATGTACCTTAGAATGAAATATATATTGAAAGAACTTTGAAAATAAAAATAAAGACAATAAGGGATACTCATTCTAATGCTAAAACTGTTGTATTAATTTTTTTATATTATAATTTTTTTTAGGAATTATGAATCAAATTATTAAACAATAATTTATGACTAGACACTTGCCATTTTAATAATTATAAATTTTTACAAATATATGAAAATTATATTACAGTTGAAATTTAATATCAAATCATAATATATTATATCCTTAGATTATAATTATATCATGCAAAATTATTGTGCGTTTGAAAAAATGTCGAAGCGGGCGAATCAGAAAGGAAATCTTTAAAAAAATATATTTATTTGCAAAATAGGTAGACCAATGAAAAGTCATTGAACTATCACTAAAGTCCTTTTAATCTTAAACAAATCAGAGCTATATGTATCTACAGCTACTATGGATATTGACATTGACAGACTATGCAAGTAAGTATAAAGTTATGATCAAATAGTTTGTTTTAATTTTAACGTATATCATAGTTTTTAATATACTATGATATACGTTCATATGTATAGGCGACGGTTACCATTTTCCATAAGGTGGACCATCATCTTGTATGCGATTCTAAAATGCATAAAAAAATGTAAGAAAGTATATCGCAAATGATATTTTGAACTGAATACCATGAAAATAGCTTATGCCGAATCGGGTTAGTTGGTCCGTTGTTTAAAAATATTGGATTTATCTTTTATAGTAAAAGATATCAGCGCCCCAAATTTTTTTGTAATCATAATCTTGTTTATACTAGGTAATTCAATATAAATGTTCAGGTTTAATTATTTTATTCTTATTTGAATAGTATATATTCTAAGTTCACTATAATCAAAATTATGTTACTATCTCCATAAAGATATATCTAGTTAAATATATCTAGTTTAAGTAAGTAGTTATATCTGCCGTAGTATGTACCCATATATTTTTTTTAAATGGATGATAATGGAATGGTAACCCCCACCCGCGCATATCGGTATACACCGGCGGGGCACCAGTGAAGGATGATAGGTGAGGATGAAGTAGGTTTTTAGCCCATCGTGACGTATATATTCAACAAGAATTGTTCACGATGGTTTCAAAAACCACGTGGAGGTCGCCATGATAAGGTATATCTAGCAATGGGGCTATATCTCCATTTCTAACAATCCTTTTCCCCCTTATGTACCCATATTTGTGCAATAAATGATTCTTGTTTGCTAAAATTCGAATTATAAAAATCAATTTATGTGTGAAAAATCCTGATGCAGCGTATAATGTTAAATTCAGGGAAAACTTCAAAGCATAGCCAGAGGTACCAGAATGTAAGAAGTGTCCAATTGTGGGACATTAATGGATAATGCCCCACTATTGGATACTTCCTATCCATAGAGATTCCGATCTCCGGAGAGAGCCTGGAGATCTGTAGTACCGGTTTCGACCTAGTTCAGACTCCAGACTCTCACAAGGATAACAATTTTAATTTAAAGTACTAAATAGTCACACACAGTTACAGTCTAAACAGTTTCCTTGTGAGTAGTGAATAAAGATTATTATTATTATTATTATTATAGAATATTCTACACAATAGTTTTCTATTACAATGTTGGTTTTATTTTGAAGTTTCTTTCTTTTGATTCCTTTCTAAGTTCACTTAGATACTTTCTGCAATTAACAAAGATGTGAAAGACAAATAGCATATTGTACTTATCATGAAAAGCTCAATAAATTAATATTCAAATACTAAATTAATAATAACACTAGATACAGTAATAAATTATATAATAAAAAAGTTAATAAGACACAAGGGTAGGGCGAGCTAAGTGGGTTGGAGATAACATAGCGGAAGCAGCGATTACCACCAGCAAATGAATGTCCCTCCCGACGTTGTCGCGTTGCTGAAGTCACAGGGTTGTCTATGCCGATATTAATTTAGTCACTATTTAAAAGTTATGAAAATTTTCATCGATAAATTAATTTGAACACAGTTTAATAAATTAAAGACAATTAACTTGAGTATTTTTTTTTTTTTAATTTAGAACGACAAACTGATGGCTAGTGGTAATTATGCTTTACTAACATGAATAATAATAAATGGATTTCGCAGAATACAACTATACCGCCTATAGTAAGTATTTCTCTATTCTTGAGAACTAAACCTAAAATTTAATAGATTTTGATAGAATTGGCCACCCCTTTCTTTCTCGTGGATGTCGTAAGAGACAAACAAGGGAACTGTGTGACTTAGTGACTGTGTGAAAATGACCATTAGTCATGGAATGGATATTTAGCAGTGGCTAGTTACTGGCTGATATAATGATAATGATGATGATAAAACCTGTAATTTCACTAATACATTTTACTGCAATATTCTTTAAACCAAAACGCGTAGTCATAACTGCTTAACGCTAGAAATACGAGTAAACAATAAAGAAACCTAACCTCTATATTAATATATAAACTTGTACTGTTTGCAAATCAGAATAAGCGTTAATAATATTGATGCTTTATCCAGCTGAGATATTAATATAATTTATACATCTGTCCGAGCTTTAGATTTCATTTATCGGCGTGAACACTGATGATTGCATGGTATCATCATTTACAGCCCTGTATCGAGAGGTGGGCGGCCGCCCACCGCAACGCTAAACGAGTTTCCGCAAACATTTTAATGAATAACACCTCCCATGCGCCCCCGCACCCCTCCGCCCCAGCCCCTTGCAATGCCATAACACCCCGCTGCACCCCGCCCAGCCTGCAATGCGCTAATTAAACATTCGAGCCATATTGTTCTATTTACGAAGCTACGGAATTTCGTAGCAAGCCGCAAATTTGCAGTTTAATTAAAATATTAAGTAACGTATATATTTATTTTTATTTATATAACGCGATAGGTTTAACAATAGAATTAATAAACAAATAAGAATATATTTACTTAAGAGGGCGATAATTTGTCTCGTGTGGCTGTCCTTAGAAATACTGTTTTGATAATACTATTTTGATTTTTTTAATTAGAGTTCTATGCTTCATTCTTTGTTAAACGATTAACGTTGTGGCCAAAATACTAATTATTCCACCCTGCAAAAACTTAATTTGATAGTTTACCGCGATTATTTCATAACATGGATAACATATTACAAGAAATATGGAAAATACTGTAATTCTAAATTTATTCCAAATAAAATTTTCTGTGACCATTTTAAAAATATCAGGACTAATTGATAATATTGTTATACCTCTCTTACTTTGTATCAGATTATAATTAATTAATTCTTAATTCTATGCCGTTGTTTTTTTAGTATAAACGCAGTTCTGTGTATTAGTTTCACTATTATTTAAGACGTTTCTTCTGCAAAATAAAGCGACTTCAATCGTAACAAAACTAGTAATAGATTAGCACGAGAAACTATACTACACTACATTACGAGTAGTATGCAATACTCTATTAATATCGAAAATAATTATCAAAATCGGTTCAGAATTGACGTAGATATCATATCATATACACACATAAAAGTATGAATTTAGAAGCTCTTTCTTTTGCAAGTCATTTAAGATCTAAACAACATACAGTTGTCTGTATATTGTATTTAATAAAACATAAATTAATAAAACATAACAAAACATAAAACAAAACAAAAATATTCAGGTACATGACCGTGTATTCAAACATTTATTCGGTCGACATATTGTGGTACTTTTTTCCAAAATCACATAATTAATCTACTTTTACTCCTTTACAGTTAGTTTACCTAGAAAACGTCTTTTCTATACCTTTCCTAGTACGTACATTTTCTACCAATTAGAATAATTAGACGTATGAGAAAAGTTGTAAAAAAAAAAACACTACGTTCCGACAGCTCAATTAGTTAATTAATCTTTTTTTCCGCCTTAAAATAGCATTTATAAACGAGGCGCAAACCAGTGGGTAACAGCCTCCCCTATCGTACACCAGGGTTGGCAATAACACTTGTAAAATGCACATTATTTTATATTTCTGAAAACAAAACTATTAAAATATCTCTATTTATAATTTGTTGAAAATTGTAATAAATTTTACATTATAAAATAAATTTAAACAAAAATATGTATTATAAATATAAAAAAGAACTCAGCGTAATGGGGTAATATTCGTAATTTTAACTGGAGTCACGTTATGATATAATACAAAAAAAAAGTATGTGTTTCACTTATCATCTATACGTATATTGTGTTTGCAGTATTTCAAAAGACATGTGATCAAAAAATGAAGCCGCTCTAAAAGTAATTTATAAATGGCTAGGTCCAGTATTCGAGTGTCAAATATTTTATATAAATATAAAATACGTCTGCATGTTATATAACTTAATTAGTAGTTTGAAATGCTGAAATATATTATATACGGATATGAAAAAGAAGAAAATTCTATTTCATAACTAAATATGTGTCTTACTCATACAACTATGCAGTTTTTAATAAAATACAAAAATAAATAAAATATACAAGATTTATTGGTTGCCTATTAGATAATAAATTTGTTAAATAGTGAGGAGTGATTCCTTTTTCTCGTAAATCTAAATTAAATTTATTATAAATGTAAATTGTACTTACTTACCAGTAACAAGCAGCACCTACTTGTAATAAAGCCATTGGTCCTGGCATAGAATAGGCCATTTTCGGTCTTCCTTTCCCGTGGGTGTCGTAAGAGTTGAATAAGGGAGGGCGAG